CCACAGATATTCATTTGTAAACATTAAATTAAAATTATCCATTCTCTCCAAAAGGTCCTCACAAACTTGATGTAAATGTTGCTGGAAAACCCGTTGGAAAATCTCCATACAAGGTCGGCTCCAAGAAAGGATGTGATCCTAAGAAGGTGAAAGCATTCGGACCAGGTCTGGAGTCCGGATTGACTGATGCACCAGCTGTATTCACGATTGAAACAAAGGGAGCTGGTCAAGGCGGCCTAGGAATTGCAATCGAGGGGCCGTGTGAGGCAGAAATGAAGTGTGTTGATAACAACGATGGCAGTTGCACAGTAGAGTATATGCCAACTAAACCAGGAGAGTATGATGTACATGTCACCTTCGCTGATACACCTATCCCAGGTTAGAATAATCTTTGACCTCAATGAAATGCAAATTTATAATTAGCACAAATGCAGTAATGATGATGATCTATTTTGAATATTGTATATATAATTGTACACATTAACTTTAGAATTTCTTAATCATGTTTAATCAGTATGAACTATGTAGTCCTATATAGTTTCTTAATGAATATCTTGGTTTAATTCATACAATAAATAAATGTACATTTTTTTTGCATCATGTTTAATCATATGAATTATGTAGTCCTATGTAGTTTTTTAATGAATGTTTTGGTTTAATTCATACAATTTAGGAAGTCCATTCAAGCCTGTTATCAGGGATGTCGTTGACCCCTCAAAGGTGCTTGTCAGTGGTCCAGGAGTGAACCCAGTTGGTGTACGTGCTAACGTCCCTGCACCGTTCCAAGTTGATGCAACTAAAGCTGGTAAAGCACCTTTGGAATGCACCATCTTGCCAGAGAGAGGTAAGCATAACAAAGGGCTCTTATTAATGCGATAGTTCTTCTGTACATGTTGGGATAATCCTTCAATTCATGTGGCAGCACACCCCTATAATGAAGTGAAACATTCCAAAATCCACTTTAAATAATCAATGATCAATCAGGTTTTTTAATATATCTTCCAAAAAACCATGTAACCAACTATATAACATATTCATGATATGTGAGTGTATTTGTGTGTATATGTGAGGAGGGGAGATGGATGGGGTGTGGCTTATGTGTGTGTGTATGGTGTGTATATGAATATGCAAGATATTTTGTATACCTCTTATTAACTTTAGTATTTGTTACAGCTCCTAAAGAGCATGCTCAGGTCTATGACAACGAAGATGGAACCTTTGATTGTAGCTACGTGCCCAAGAATGAAGGTCGTAAATGTGCAGTAGAAGTCAAGTATGACGGAAAACATGTCCCTGGAAGGTACGTCTTTATGCCTTCCATACCTGCATTCTTTTTAGAAAGGCTTGACAAGTATAATACTTTTCTTTTTTGCAATTTTTTTTTTTCATACTTGTAATCATTTTACTGTAGAAACACATGTCTGGAAAACAAGTTATATTTTTGCATATTATGCCTTCCATATGTATGGGTAAGCATGTGTCTTATGAGATCATATTGGCCAGGATTTGCACCTTAAGCCTTTTATACCTACATTTATTTGCATAATCCTTTGTGAAATCTTATGCCTTCCATACCTATGTTTATTTGCATTATAATGTTACTAATTATAGATTAATTTGCTTTTCAGTCCCTTCAATACCAGAGTCTTGCCGCAGTTTGATGCTAGCAAAGTGAAGGTATCCGGACCAGGTGTACAACCATCAGGTGTGTTGGCTAGTTTACCTGTGGAATTCTTAATTGACACCAAAGAAGCAGGTGAAGCCCAGTTAGCCGTTTCAATCATTGTAAGTTTATCTTGTAATCCTTTAATAGCCTTGTTTACACGGCCGTTTGCTATCAGATAGGTAACACCGATGATCTCCAGTTGCGCATCTACACAATAAAAAAAATTATCGGTTGTACAGGAAAGTCCAACTGACCTAAAAAATTTGCGAATTGCAGCTTGTTTTGAAACCCTTTGTCAAAAAAGTTTAAAAATGTATGTAATTGATAAAAACATAATTTTTCGCGATGTTTGTCTACAGCAACATCCAGTGATGACTGACACAAGTCAAACAACAGCTAATTATCATAAAGATCACGCTGATGATGGTGATAACACCACTGCGATGCAGAGGTAACTGCGTAAATCATTGCGGTTACTGATCCGTTGTGCGGAGTTACTGTGTTTACACGGCCACTTAACACCTATATCAACGGATAAACGCGATAATCACGGTGATCTGCCGTGTAAACAAGGCTAATGTCTTTTAATGAGCAGTAGTCATTGCAGCAAATGATAGGAAGTCGCTAACTATATTGTGCATACTGCAATAAACTGCCTCACCATTCTGTAAGCAGTTGGACAATGGTGTTGGACCATACCCTAGTACTCATACTCATAGGAGAGAATGTGGACAACATGGCTTGCACAAGGACCTAAGCGAAATTCATCGCGAGGAACTTAAATTCCCAAACTTTAAACTATGACGAAACGAACTACGGAGTATTTTTGAAGTATATTAGATCGAAGATGAGGTTGATACAAGATCTAATAGGTTATGAAGAAACCGGATATTTTGTTACAGAAGCACAAAAATTATCAATGTTCTGATAAAGAAACCCCTAAATTTATATGAATAATCAGCTGGGTTTACATTCAAGTATTTTTATTCATCAAAATTGCAGTAAAAAACTGAATTAATTACAAAATACATTAAAATATCATGAAAATTTAAATTATTAAGCCCTGTCCAAGACTGTCAAATTTGATTTGACAAAAACATGTGACATGCCTAAATATGGTCATGATGACATCACATCATGACCATATATAGGCACATCATGTCTATATATGGGCATACAAAAGCTTTATATAATATTATTTTTCTTTTATATAGGATGCTACTGGGAAACCAGTGAAGCCAACGATTGTTGACAATGGAGATGGCACTTACACGGTGTCATACACACCCAAGGATATCGGTCCTTACACCATTCTCATCACATTTGGTGGTAACAAGGTGCCGGGCGCACCCTTCAGTGTTTCCGTGTCGCCAACCGGTGATGCTTCCAAATGTCAAATAGTCGGTAAGTCTTACAGCAATGAATCATATTAAATAATGGAGAAGTTTAAGTGTAGATATAAATTAAAATTAGTTGTATTGTCTATTTCTTTAATAATTTAAATTTTGTAAGGTTATTTCTGAAAGCAATATATATATTTGCTAAATTTATATGTTTAATATAATTTTTGATTTTAATGACATGATTTTAATGATTTTAACTTTAATCACATGAAAATGAATGAAGATGAAATGGGAAGATAAACTTTTCCAATTTAAATTAACAATTTTCAAATATTTCATTATGGTGATATATTTTTTGTGCATGCATCGTTAACCGTCATTTCTTCCTTCACCACATTATCAATTAAAAACAGAATGTAAAAGTGGTGGTCGTGATATTCCTGTTGTTAATGGTAAGGGCAGATTAAGTGTTAAAATCTAATCACAACTGCTTTAAAATTATATAAGAACTCTGAACTCTATGTATTACATTCAATTCTCATTTGCTTATCTTACTGTAGTATGTACATATATAGATCATTAGCACATCTCATTATATCTATTATTGATATTGTAGTGTATGAAGAGAAAAGAATGATGAATATTGGCTATTATTGTCTTTGGTAGAGCTCCTAGGCTACATCTACCTTAGGCTTAGCATATGCCAAGGGTTACTATTCACCTACTGGGGCCTAGAATCTCTAGGGAGCTCAATGGAAATAAGTCTTTTTGGCTTTCTTGAGTTATCCTTGGATATAACCCTATTATTGTGTATATTTTTTAGTTATCTTGTTCTTATGTTTTATGCGAATTGAGATTCCAAATAAATTAATTAATTCATGTGTTTTTACAAAAAAAATTTAAATTATATACAAAATCAAACTAGAAATATTTTGAGTCAATTTTGTTTCATCATTCTCTTTCTTCATCCTTTAGCTTCAGTTCTCCCTGCAGTAGTTTTCATAGTAAATTCTTCTATCTTTCATTTCTGTACACTCTCCTATCCATTGCCACACTAGGTGTGCAAAGCGGTCCGTACGAGATCCCAGTGCGACGACAAAGTGTAAGCTCTGAGAGCACGACAACTACACGCACTACTACCACACGAACTACAACTACAAGTAAGGGCATGAGTTGGATGTGTGACCTCCGCTGACCTTGCCGTCCTCCCCACAACCCCTAATAATGCTGCCAAAAGTAGAACTCAATATTTAGGAGTTTTTATGAGCATTTGATTGATAATAATTTGTAACGGTTGATGTGTTAATACTAATTGTTTTACATATACTTTGTCCCTATGTATATGTATATAAATTTTATATAGTTTTAATAATTATGTTTACAAAAAACTTGTTACTTCCCAGTTAAGATGCTAAACATGTTATGAAAATTTTTTTATTACAAATTTCATTTTGTTCAATGTAGAAATAATATAGGCCATCCTATAAGAGTTTTTTTTTTTTTTTTGGTATTTATTTGTTAGTTTCATCTTGTTTCTTAAATAATTTAAATATTTTCAGTAGAATATTAGAGTTTGTACCTTCTATTTTTATTTTATTTATTTTTGAGTATTAAAATTATGAAATGAATAGAATTGATAAATTTTAGCTGAACTCTTTAGTTTAGTGGGGAGGAAAAGGTCAAAATTGTTTTCTTATTGCCCATGCATGCTCCTTGATCAGTAACAACCAATCGTGTTCTGTTTAAAATCTGGAATTTATTGTGATATCAATCCAATCATGTGCAACCATTTTCTACTTTCTTATTTGGCATGAATTGTCTTTGGAAGTGATCAATCTGTCGTGCTACTTCTTTCTTTCTTTCCTTTCTTTTTCTTTTCGGCACTTTATCTTCCATTCATTAATAATTCTATATGCATGGGTTTGCTAGCCTTTCCCTCATTCATTGTTTACTACAATTCATCCTGGGAAATAGGTAATTTTTGTAATGCAGATACAACCACCAAATAATGTAAATTAAATCTATGAAATAAGTGGGGAAGAACTTATTTATAATGTATTGTGGTAAACAATAAATGGGCTTATGATTTTTAACCAAGCTTTCATATGTAAGTGCTGTACATTTCATAATCCAATGCTTTTGCTCACCCTCCACACTGTCAAATTTTTATGTGACAAATTTGTGTGATATGCCCATATATGGGCATGATGTCATGTTACACCCAAATATGGCCATATCACTAAAACTTAAAGTATGGACAAAACTGTACAACAGCCAAACTTTAATCCTGGGGCAGATTGCTATAAGCAGTCTTAACGGTTAGCCGGCTATAATCGTGACGTCACTATTGGTCTATGAATTTAGACCATTGCTATACCGCAGTCTAACCAGTAAGCCGTCTTAAATTTGAAAGCCTACTCTGAGGAGGCTTAAAACGGTTTAAAATCATATTCATCATGGTGTTCTGCTGATTAATTCAACAGTGCAATGGCAAGACCTAGGTCTAGATCGTCAAAGTCAGAGAATCGATTGACGAATATTCCGCATGCTTCTCAGCATCTGTAAAAGTAGGTTTACGTTCATTTTGATACATTTGTGTGCGTCGAGCATGCATGACATCGCCCCCAATCTTACGTTACCATTGAGTGCTTGTTTACATTTCAATACTCAAAGCGGTCTTAGGGAAGACTGTTTTATAGCAATGGTCTTAAAGGAATTACTTTAGTAAGAATATCTAAGTGATAAAGCCGGCTTTATTCGGGGAGTTAAGACTACCAGTTAAGACCATTTTATAGCAATCTGCCCCTGATGTAAATATTTTTACTTCAATGGTGCAAATATTTATGCATATGCTCTTATTTTAAACATGATTATAGATCAGGAACAGTTTTGCTGTTGTATCGTTAAGAAACATGTTTTTATTTTGACCATACACTTAATGAAAACAGGTTTACTAACAATCTTCTATGCATTGTTAATTATTTATTTTGCATGCTGTTTAAAAAAAAATGCTGATTTATAAAAGTGCTTAAAATCAATCAATTTCTTTCCTTGTGTGCTGTAGTTGGTTTACTTTTTGCCAATAAAGGCAGGCTTCTTGGTTTGTTTCTGTCAGGTAAAAAACATGTGCATGCCATTCGCAACAACCTGCATAAACAGGGCAAAGTTTGGTTTGCCTATGAACTATAGAGGGCACGACAGTGTATGTGGTTAAATTATTGAATGTGTTATATTACTTGTTTGAATGTCTACCTGCATTTAACCAAGACTAATAAAATTTGCAATTGTTTTAAATTGTCCATTTCTGATTTTCAAGCCAGTATGCATTTTATTACTTTTAAATGTTTGTTTTTTTTTAATTTATCTCTTCAAGTTTTTATATGTTAATTTTGCATTTTTATTATTAGTGCAAAATGAATGCTAAAATTTATACTTTTGCCTCTGCAATTATCCTGTTTTGATGATGCATTTCTTAAAAATGAATGTTGATGCCTATTAATATCTGAATCAGTAGAACTTTAAACCTGTTTTTTTAACCATATTTATCAAAATGAACCGTATTTTTGTCATCCAACATTGAGTGATATGCATGTATTACACAAAAAAGTCCCATTATGAGGTTATTGAGTCAACCTTGTAGAAAGACAAATTCCTGAGTGCCCAAGGTATGGTACTGTTTTTCAATTAGTGCATTTATTTCAACAGTTATGTTTTTAACTTTAAAAAATTGCACGATGTTGACCAAGACTTTACTACCTATAGGAGAAACAATTACTAAGACCGTGGTAGTTGAGGAGGAGACAGTCATAAAAATCAATTCCCAAGATGCTGGCCAGGGCATGGTCACTTGCGCTATCATGGGTCCAGATGGCGTGGAGATTGAAGATGTTCAAGTTATCGATAACGGAGATGGAACATTTGACATCGTCTGGACTTGTCCTGTAAGTGGTCGATACAACTTGGACATGAAATTTGGCGGTATGCCAATCACTGGTGGTCCAATCTCAATTGGGGTAAGTAAATAAATGATTCATTTGTTGTTTTATCAATTAAAAGATATGGTCTTCGTAAAATCCGTAAAAATTCAATTAAAACATTTAAAAACGCTCATTTTACATGGATCAATATATGAACTTTCAATGAAACAAATCAGACAAATCATTTTTCACTGATCTATAGATTTATTATGAGGAAAATCTTAAAATTGGTTACTAAAAAATTGAATGGCCATTTTCTTCTAAGTCTACTCGGCACAGTGTCATCCATTTTCAAGACCATCCGAAAACATGCTCTTGTTTGACCACTCCCTCAACCTAACAATATACAACACAAAATTAATAAAAAAAGCACATGCATTATTAATCACTCTATTAATCACTTAGTGATTGTTTGTACTCTTGTAAAGCTTGGTTTCCATACAATCGCTACATGCTATCATCGACAGCTTTCGGTGATGCTGATTGGTCGGTCGAATCAGGGAACCTTCCCAATTGCCTCAGGAACTGCTACACAGTAAAACGTTGGTACTGAAAACACTGTAGTGACAGCGTGGCAATTCTAAGGAAATCATGCTTTAAAATGATGTAACTTTACTCATTGTTTTCCTAAGTATTTGTATTTTACGTATATAAAATCTTATTTACATTTTGAAAACCACTTAATTAAGCAGAGGGGTATTAGCCAAGAAGTGATGTATGTATGTTTCATGATATATTAGTATTATAAGCTTTCTATGTGCACATGTCCATATATGGTAATTGTCATCATCGATGTATGTCCTTTGGGATGTCTAGTGATGTATTAGGTTCCAGTTTATTCTCCGCCACAATAATGGCCTCCTTCTTGCTTCTGATCCTAATTAACTACTGATTCCTACTTATAATTGCAAAGTTTGTTTAAGTGATATCGATTCTCATTCCTGACACGTGCCAGGATTATAACATATGTTTTTATAAGAAACCTTTCTAAACTAACATGAAGTCAGTCATTATTCAGAGTTTGATTGGCAGAGAAAGTTGTGCGTACGATTTGAATTCATCTGAATAACAACCGGTTAAAGATCTCTTGTCACAATTTTGTTGTCTGATAAATGATGACACGCAATATGCTCAACAAAATTAGGAATAAAACATTAGAATATCATTTTTGACAGTTGCAAAGGTTAGGCATCTGTTAAAATGTTTTTCAGATTATTTTTGACATTTGAAATACTTTATTGAAAGTGTCGTTAACACAATATTGAATCCTGTTTAAACCCTGCCGTATCCCCACTCTAAAAGCATCGTCATTAATTATAGGTATAAGGTTGTAATAAGCACATCATACAAATTAATCGTGACAGCCGGTATTCGATAGATTGGTGGTGAGAATGGTTCATTAGTTGTCCATTAACCTTGGCTTGTGATTGTACAACCCTGCTGCTTGAACACTGCCCTCAACAATCAAACAGGAAGTTATCGTAATGACAACTCAAGAGGTTGTTCATCACTTTTTTTTTTTATAGCAGTACAATTTTTCTTTTGACTTGTTTTTGTTTTTGTTCTTATTTTAAATTTTATTTTATTGTTATGTTTGTGGTGTTATTGTTAATTATTAGTCTTTTTCTTATTAATTATATTATTCTTATTTGTCAACAAGAATAGAATTAGTTAATAAAAATATATAAGAATTTTTATTTAATTATTAGTATACATTTTTATACATTTTAGGATACATCACAATCAGTTACAGTATTTATTTGTTTTATATTATATTCAGAAGGCAATAGAAGTTAAACATGCATTTAAAATTGCATAATGTTACAAACAAGAGCATTGAAAAGTGTAGAAATATTTACCACCATGTGCAACCTTGAATAAAACTTATATTAATCTAAAAACCATAATATACAAAAAGTTCATGTGTTCAAAGTTATGGTACTGTACTGTATATAGTTGTAGTAATAACTTAAACTTAGAAGTATTTATTTCCACCAGTAATTCCAGTAAAATATCCCTGTTTTCATGTGTTTGAAAAGATATAATACAGAACTTGGGCTAAGGTACTATACTGTCTATGTTTAAGTAGCCACAATTAAAACATATCAAACATACTTCAAACTATACACAAAGTTGTTAATTGATTGATTGTCATTACTTCGGTGACCTTAGTGACGTTTATTCAGGCCGGGGCAGAGTAAGGGGCAGAGTAAATGCTTCCGGAATTCCCTCTGTCCCTTTAACCACCAGCTCAGCACAGGCATTCCATTGGCTATTACAATCTTTTACGCACATTTTGGCATTTAAGCTATGTCAGAGATGACTGTACTCAGCACCATTTAAGGCTACGAGCCTAGAACTAATAGAAATGGAGCTAGGCCGCCAGAGGCTGACAAGGCGAGAGCCACAGATGCCACAGCTAGGGTGAAAAGTGATATGTTAACTACATTCTGACTGAAATCATTAGCGGCTGTAGGGGGCTAATCTGTGCGTACTCCTGTTAACCTCTTTATAATTTTATGTTATTTAACATTTATTATTTCTACAGTACAGTATGCTCCAAACAAAACACTTACTGGAATATTTGTACTTGTGTACTTTAGTGTTCCTAAAACACAAGATTAGTCGAGCGGTAATTAAAAATAAACATCAATCATATTGAGATTGACAGATGATAACCTAGTCTTGGCCCTCCATACAGGTGTTTAATTATTGGCAACATCAAAAAGATAATTGACAAGTTGGGTATACATCACATCAATCATAGTTACTAGGTTACCAAGTTCAGCTTTTAAGTGTTTAATTAGTAGATAGCCCTGGTATTTTCCCCTTATACTCATAAATTTATTGACTATTAAATTGATGATTAACTGCAACGAAGTAGAATTAGTAATTCCTTCTTTGTCGGAATTTTTTAAATTATGTAAATGATTTATATCGATAATGTACCTCAAGTATTATCATCCCATTTAATTTGACCTATAATTTGTGCATATAGTACATAGCACAAATGCTAAACTATTAATTAAGCTATTTGTAGCAGTAGGCATTGAATAGGTAATCAGCAAAGCACCAGACATCGTTAGTGTTACAAACAAATCATTTATGATTTATATAGGCCAGCTTTGTCGGCCTTGTTTAAGTTATGCGACTGGTTATTTTTAGTGAACTGGTAAAAAAAAGTTTAGTTAGGACTAGTCCATTTATTTTGTAGGGGGTTGTTGTTTCTAGTTTGTGTACCAATCTCCTTAGCATTAATGAAATACCTAGGTAGTATTGCATTTCAATAGGAAGACTTATACAAACTTAATGACTGTCCTACTAGGAAAAGACATAGGACATATTTGGCTTGACTACTAAACTGTAGTCATCGGCTCCGGTGATGTCATCGCCTTGGTTTTAGTTATCCCTGTTTATTGGATGGCTCTTCGCTCATCGCTGTAGCTGCATCTAAAAATCCACTACATCCAGGTACGGTGTTAGGTCAAGCCTACCTCATTCGGAGTCTCTTTTGAGGTAATTTATTGGAATTTAACTTGCTGGATTTTTTGGTAATTTTTTGCTTGAGTGCATTTTGTCTTGTGGACAATTTGTTTGGATAATTCACACGCAGGCTCTCTGATTGGCAACAGTTGCTGTTCTTAGACAGGTAAGGCAGTTATATGCTAATGAGATGCAAGACGGATCCAAAAAACCATTCTTAAGGATCTAGTAACAATATTTTTTTTTTTTATTTTAGTTAAAATTAGTATTGAAAATTATTGTAAAGATAGTCCTCCTCATTCTCTGCCCTCATTCACCCTAACTAGAGTTCCTATATAGAGAAACCCTGATTAAGAAGTTGTCCTTTTAAGATATTATTGTTTAATGCTTTCTGAATAATCTTCAAAATCTATTGTAATTATCTGCACCATCATTAATTAGCCTAATTGAGTAAAATCAAAATATGATATAAATATTAGATTAATATAGGTAGTACTTTTTTTTAAAGTCAATCTTTATTTCTGAAAGTCTGTGGAGGAAATTACCCAGTAATGTATATCCCATAATATTAGTGAGATACTTAACACTGTCTTGTTACTATGGTGATTATTTAGGCACCTTCATATGTCATTAATTTTGTCAACACATGGTGGAATTTGTTAAGTGGGTGGTATCAAAATACGTGGTTGATGGCAGTTGAGTTCCTTGCTAATTTGTTTGCAGGTCGTAACTTTTTCTCAATAGACCTACGAAGATGATGATTATAGCTATTTTAAATATAAAAACATATATTATTATTTATATACATAAGTATATGAATAAGTATATAAATAAGTGTTTACAGGGTTGCACAACGCAAGCATTCTTGTAGAAGAATTAAATATAATAGTTGCGCTCCAGTTGGTGTGAAAGCATGTAACTGTCATTCAAGATATGGGCCACTAAAAATATTCTAATGAAGCTTGCATTAAAATGTCCTAGAGAATGGCTTGTACCCGAATTTCCATATAGAAAAGATCCCCACCCCACTCCTCCCCCCCCCCCTCTTNNNNGTTCGACAAAGTATATATTCTGTCTCTTATACACATCTAGATGTGTATAAGAGACAGGTGTTATAGGTAATACACAGTCAACAGTGACGCATGACCAGTGCATAAACATGTATAGGATGATTAGTCTCAAATGTACAATATCCCTCACTCTATCGTCACCATTAATCATGTTTTAAAATACTGTGCATTCTTGTCAACTTGCAAGAATGCATTTAACCAGTTTCGATGCTTCACTACTCATAATATTGCGATACCCACGGGCTGTTGAATGCGCAGCCGTTTTTTTCTGGTAATTGATAGCTCCGGAGAGTATAGGGTTTTCAGGTTTATTTTCAGCCCATTCCTGATTTGTTCATGTCTTGCTAACTTTGAAATTAGATTATCTAATTTGGTTTGATAGTCAGTGAATGGACGAAAATGGAGTTGTTGCTTCCTAGATGTTTTGTTGTTGTAACAAATAATTGGAGATGGTTGGGATTTGTTAGTGTTTGTGTCCCTTTTTGCTTTATGATTACACACTAGGATATATGCCTATGCTAATACTTATAATGTTTAAATGTTTTTTGTGTTCAGTCACTAAATCTTATTTACCAAAATTCATTTTTAGGTCACCTATATGAACCCAAACCATTTATCATACAACGTAACCATCATCCCACTGGGAAGCCTTCCGAAACTAATTACTTAATTACTCACCAAGAAAGAAAACAACCTTTAAATTCTTCAGAATAGCATATCATGATCTATATATTAGCAGCAATATATTATGTTACACTGACATTAGTTTTAAGGTGTATCAGTTGTCTTGCTAGGCCAGGTGGGATGTCTGACATAACAGTTCAGCTGTTACTGTTTCTATCCTGGTGTGGGAGTAATAGGCCGATCAAGTCAGATGTAACATCATTGTTACAGAGACTTCTTCGTCTCCAAACCTTCATAAGCAACACTTGTACCCTGTCCAGACTATCAAATTGATGATGACGAAGACATTTGTCATGCCTAAATATGGTCATGATGACATCACACCGTGACCATATATAGGCATATCATGACTATATATGGACATACAACACTGTTGACGAATGCTTGTTGATTGGTATAAAGTTTTACTGTTATTCTAGATAGAAGCTCTGACAAAGGTTTCATATAATTTTCTATCAATAATAAAAATTGTATTTTAATATTAATAAGAGTAATAATAGCATTATTAATAGTTATTATTAATTATTACTCCAGTATTGAATACACTCCATCATGTTGTAATTCAATATTTCGTCATTGTCATCATCAGGATATGTAATAATAGTGTAGTGGTAAATTATTTTCTTTTGATTTTTTATTTGGTTCAACTTTAAAATACATAAAAATACAATTTTATGAAAATGAGCTAAAAACTACCACAAAACAATTAAAATATAAAAAAATTATCAAGAGCACCATGTAAAATTAAGAGATACAGAATTGATTTTTGAGGTTTTCCTAATATTTCTCTATGACTATCTTTTTAATCTTTTATTGCAAGGCAGTAAATATTTTGTATTAATGCTGTTAGAATCTGTAACTCGCGCAGTCTGTTGTTTTAAAATTTTAGTGTACTAATTGCTCTGGCCCTGAAAAAGTTCAGTGTAAATCATAGCTTTAAATTTGTTAAAGTTTGTTAGTCGCTAAAGTACTGTCTACCTCATCTTTCTAATTGATCTGTGCCGAGTTTATTAACAGTGAACTCACTATATGTCTGGAATGTTAATTTCAAACTTTCTAAGTATGATATGCAATAAACAGTCGGATAGTTTATGTCTAAAGCCATTAATGCCCTAAAGGTGTTATGGCATTTGTACTTGCTAAATTGAGTATCACTTCTGGCAATGTTCTAAAAATAGAACATTGATCACAACACATAGAACAACATAATTTGGATTTTACGTGTTTACCCTATAAAATTACATGGTTAATTAATTAATTATAATGACATAAAAGATATAGACAAAATCATGATCATAATCATCTTTGTCATCATAATCATCGTTGAATATCATTCATCAAGTTTTTATATACAGTACCTTGGTGCCTGTCTTTTATCAGGAAGAAACTTCAAATGGTAACATGCACTGTGCTATCCAACCCTAGAATTCTCCTGCTCCTTCCACCTCCCCCTACACATTTACTGTTTGTTTTATTTCATTTTCTCTTCCATCTAAAAGAAGTCCTTAAAAACAGTACAATACAGTACCAAGAAGTCAAACTATATTAAGTTTCTTCACTACTCTTTTATTCCAAAATTTAAATAAACAAACAAAATTATGTTTGATTACAAATGCAGATCTGGCAACAAACACGATTCCTTTTGAATATAATTGTTTAATTTCTAAACAGATTTTCAGATCTCAAGATTAATGGTCACGTTCAAGCGATTTCAGTTGATTTTGCAGGATCAAATGAGGGAGGCAAACAAACACAAAATATTTGAAGTAATTATATTACAAATACCAAAGTGATATTGAACAGAGATAGGTAGATCTAAATAGAGATAGTTGGGATGTAAGAACAACTGGTCAGCACTGGGCATACCATTCCTAAACTGTCCTATAGGTTTCATCAAAACAAACACGTTAAGCACTGACAACTGAAACTTGTTTTTAATCTGTCGTTCTCCCCCCCTAGTGGTTGATGTCATGTCAGAAGTGCGGAATTGAAGTAGAGGCCAGTGGTCTGGAGTGTGTATGTTATCTCCCAACATTCACCAATATTGATTGACCATCTAAAATAAGTTTATACATAAAAATATCTGGTAGACTCCATCAGGAGGCTCCCATTTTTATTTAAATAATTATTTACCCTCAAAATTATTTCGGCTACAACAATTTTTTAAATCTTTGGTTTATTTGCAAATGTACTCTGAAAAATAATGTTCGACAAAGTATATATTTTGCTTTATATTATTATTGTGGTTTTTTTTTCTTCTAATAAGAAGAAAATGTGTTGTATGATGTATTTGACATTTACAACCATACTCAGAAAAAAAAAACTAGGCAACGACTGCTAATGTTTGTTATTTTTGAAAGTTCATGTTCAAGACTTACTGTGAATCTTCAAGATATTTATCAACCCTTGAAAAACAAGGAAAGGCAATAGCATGAAACCAGGTGCTTTCATTTCCAGCTAATATCCACTGGCAGCTGTATGAATACACCAACGCCAAGCATTATTTACCCTGAGTAGCATCCTTGTTTACAGTGATTTACTGTCTAAGCAGACAGTCATAAAGTTACATCATAAAGAAGACTTACTTTTTTAAAGCTATGCACCTGGTCTAGTGTATTGTGAAAGGTGATGTGGTTGCTGATGTGATGGCATTCTTCTGTAGGGTCAATTTACCAGCCATAATCAACATAATCATAGTCCGCCCTCGCATTATTTCATAGTGTTTCTGCAAATGTTTCAACGAGATGATTATGGTTTCTTAGGAATTATATCCTATCACATGTGATTAACACAGTTCCTTATACTGGCAGTCACAAGCTGAAATTCAATAATATTTTAATTAACTTAAATATATTTAATAAATTAAAATTCAATAATATTTAAATTACTTTAAATATATTTTAAAAATTAGTATTTTTTAAATTAAAACAAACAAATTAACAAACAGGATACCTTTCTATTTTGGATGGATTGGAATTACAATCATTACAGTTATATTGTAAAACTTTATGGTGTTGTTTCTGTTGTATGTTTTTGTATAACACATGATTTTTTGAGCAGTTGCTTGTGTTTTCTTTTTGTTTGTGTTTTTTTAGAGTGCTTAGTTATAGTTAACACTTGAAGCACTCCTCTGATAGTTTTTGAGTTTTAAATTGATATTGTGATTTCCTGTAAAATAAATTATTCAAAAACAAAAACGAAATCTAAAGGAATCATTCATAGCACTGGTTTTGGTTCCCCTTCATTAGTCGTTTTCTGTGTTTCAGTTTTTGGTTTAGTGTGTTTCTTTCCCTTCTCAGTGCTTTGAATCACTTGCATCTTTATTCTGCTTTTACATTACTTCTATATTGGCTTTTTTCTTGGACCTAGCACTTAAAGACCTTGTTTATTTGTGCTTTATAAATCTTATTATTATTATCTTCCAGGCCGGTGAAGGTCCACCAGAAGAAGAGATCATACCATTCGAAGTACAAGGTGTTGAATCTGCTGCAATGCCCCAGGAATGTCGTCCATTTGACCTGGTCCTTCCGCTCGGCGGAATTGGTCAAGGCAGAGTACATGGTATGCCAAGTTTATTATAACATCGTGATTTATATGTTTTCGTGAGGAAGTTTGATGACAAATGGATAAGCTTATACTTGAAGGTTACCAGTGATGAGGAACTTTGTGATCTACTCGGCAGTCTTAATTACTGCAAAGAAAACAAACTTCGAACAACTAGATTTAAAGAGTGCTTACATGTAGAAGATATATATATATAGATCGTTACCAAAATAATGCATTTGGTGTGGAGAAACACTATTACAGATATAAAAAATAAGAAAAACTTGAAAAAAAAAGTCTACCTCTTCATCACCAAGTGCTGTGTGCTGTATACTGTCTCCCCCTTCCCCCCAAATTAAACAAGATGAAACTTTATTAAATACATATTGTATACACTGAAAACTGTTATTTTGACATGGGCCAAGGGTTGACAATAGTGAATATAATCACTCATACTCATAGGTGACAATCCCTTTGCCAAGACAAACTTACAGACAAGAGGCTTTACATAGACTAAGTCTCACTCTGTGCTTTGAGGGTGGAGATGTTTTTGGCTGTGAGAAAAAAACTCCTGCAAGCTTGACCAGAATTGAACCCAGGACCCTGGGATTGGAAGTCATGCATCTTAACTGCCAAATCACAACTCCATTTCTCTCTTTTTGTGAATCATCAAACAATAATTGAATTTAGATTTTCATTAATTTTATGAACATCTGACCAACAGGTGAGGTAACAACACCAACCGGCAAGAAGCACAAGCCACAGATTACAGAGAACAAAGATGGAACCATTACTGTTAAATATGCACCAACAGAGACAGGTCTCCACCATCTTAATGTCATGTATAACAACCAGTGTATCCCAGGTACATTTTTTGCTAAAGTTGCTTAAATTTTAAAAAAAATTATAATAATAGAAAGAAAGATACATGCTTATTTTGAAAAGACGTCCTCAATTTGGCAGCATACATATGCTTAAGATAAAAAAAATAATCCTTAAATTTGAAACATGCATGTTTAGGTTAGAAAGGTACATGCATAACTTTGGAAAAATGTATGCCTAAGTTGGAAGCATGCATGCTTAATTTGGTAACATACATGGTTCTAAGTTGAAACTATACATGCATAAATTGAATACATGCTTTACCTGAAAGTATACATCCTTAGAAGCATACATGCTGAAAATGAAAACATGCTGAATTTGGAAACATTGCTGATATTTTGAAGTTATATATATAGCCCCAACACCCTCATGTCCTTAATGAGTTTTTTCTGATTTGCAAAACAGAAATTATCATAGAGCAAAATGTGTAAAAAGCTGAAGGATGAACGACGACAGATAATAATTAAAGATTGTGGAAAATGGAAGAAAGTTATTCAACTCGCCAGGCAAATGCAGACTATTCATATTTTCTGCCTTATTTTCTTTCTCCTATAGGAAGTCCATTCCAATTCCATGTAGATGAAATCAAGAGTGGTCAAGCCACAGCTTATGGTCCTGGCCTTACCCATGGCATCTGTGAACAACCATGTCATTTCATAATTAACACCAAGGATGCCGGACCAGGTAAGCTAAGCAAGGAACCCCTTCTGGTGATTTAGAGGGTTATCCCTTATTTTTAATGTCTTTCTCAGATTCATGTTTCTTGTAATAAATTAAATCAAATTATGTGTTTATATTGCAATAACTATTTCAAGATATGTCTATTATTGACAGCTACTGACGTTTCTGTAGTGTCAATTACTGTACTCAAACATTTTACCCGTTCTGTTTCCAATGAGCCATAGTTTGTGCCCACTTAAAACTCTCCCTAGATCAATTATCATGATCTCTGTGCAATTTGGAGTAATGACAAAAATGAAATCAGATAACATAATTAATATTGCTCTCTTTTAGGTGGTGTTGCACTAGCAGTTGAAGGTCCGTCAAAGGCTGAAATCAAATGTAAAGACAACAAAGATGGAACGTGTGATGTCACATACTACCCTCTTAAACCTGGCGATTATGCCCTCACTGTCAAATTCGCCGACAAGCATGTTCCAGGAAGTCCATTCACAGCTAAAATTGTTGGTAAGTAACTTATATATATGTTATATATATGGTGAATATATGTTGTCCAAGATACCTAACCAAACATCTTTTGATCTTATCAAACTTTAATGACATGTTCCTGCTAGATGTCTTCATTATGAATCATGATCACGGCTCCCAAGAGTCCTGGATTGCCCTGGATCTCCAGGACTTTTGGTCCATCTCCCGGTCATCAGGAAATTCCACATTTACTCTCGGAATTTGAATTTCTCCTGGTTTTCTCCCAGGATTTTAAGATTTTCACAATTAGAGGTTATGCTAAGTTTTTCCCATTTGTGTGCATTAAATCTGGTAGACATAAGATTTATTGAAATTCTAGGCAGCAAAATGGTATTAAACATGACCTGAACCTGCCAAAGCTTTTTTTCTTATATTGAACATGGCGGTAAATTTGTACAAGCGTGTCATTGTACATGCGTTGTAGCTAGTACACGTGTCGCAAAGCTGTGCCTGTCCTACACAACAAATTCTCTAGGAATTTGACTTTCACAACTTGGGACCCCTGCATGATAAAAAATATCTTGATTTCTATTCACAGATAAGACAGGTGCACCGATGTGTGTAGGTGCTTGCAGTGATATACCTCTGAAGATCAATGAGACGGATCTTAGCCTTCTCACTGCCAGCATCAAGATGCCATCAGGTTGTGAGGAAAATTGCCAACTGAAGAGACTGCCAAATCAGAACATTGGTAAATTGATACAATTATTCTTAAAGTCTGTCCAAACTACCGAATATCATGTGACATGCTTGTGTAATGTGCCCTTATATGGGCATGATAATGTGCCCTTATATGGGCATGGTAATGTCATATTAAGCCTGGTTTCCTTAAAATCACTGCACTGTCGCTTCAGTGTTTTTGGTGCAAGTCACCAATGCTATTTCGGGAAGGTTCCCCGATTCAACCGACCAATCAGCATCACCGAAAACTGTCTGTGATAGCGTGTAACAATTGTATGGAAAACAAGCTTTACTCCCAAATATGGGCATATCAGAGTTATTTATCACGTAAGATTTGATAGCGTGAATGGAGCTTTAACAGATGTCAGGATGTCAAAAGAGCATAATAAATTCTGCTACCAGCATGTGGTCTATGGTAGGGGTTCCAGTCTATAGTTTGAGGTCAGGTGTTGTTCATGTCCTTTGGCATGTAGTGGTGAAGATTGTGCACTGCATGCATCATTGCCAATAAATTCAAATAAATCTAAGAATCTTCCTTGCAATAACAACCATTAATGTATTAAAATAAAGTTAATCTAAACCAATTTGTAATTCCAGGCATCACTTTCACTCCAAGAGAAGTTGGAGAACACGCCGTGAGTGTGAAGAAGTTTGGCCGTCACATCACCAACAGTCCTTTCAAGATCATTGTTGGATCGCAAGAGGTTGGCGATGCTTCTAAAGTCAAGGTATCTGGTCTTGGAATTGCAGAAGGAGATGCAGGAGAGATCGCAGAGTTCAAAGTTGATACATCAAAGGCTGGTACGTAGTTAGTATACCCTCTTCTCCAAGTACTAGTCTTTTCATGATACTTATTTAACTCATTTTTCTGTTTTATTAACTTTATCAGTATTTTTTAGGATTTGATCTAGTGTTTCCTTGTTTTATTTATTTTTTTTTCATTTTGTAGTGTATATACTTCAATTTTTTTTGTTACGGGATTGTTATATATTAGTTTCATAACATAAATATTCAGTTAAGTCTGAAATCTAAATTTTATATTTTATAGATATGAAACTTTTATTAGGCCAAGTAGTATTTTATTCCCATATATTCCTGTTCATAGGATCTAATGTAATTCAATCATATTTTTTTATTTTTTTTTATTTTTTACTCAGGCTTTGGTGGTCTTGGAGTATCAATTGAAGGTCCAAGCAAGACAGAGATTAACTGTGAAGACAATGGAGATGGAACCTGCATTGTCACCTACAAGCCCCAAGAGCCCGGCAACTATATCTTGAATGTGAAGTATGCAGATCAGCATGTACCAGGTGAGGGTCTCAATGATTCACCACTTAACTGGGTTAAAAGGGGCATAACCACCCTTTTCTCAGATTTCAATCATTGTTAAATAATTTTAACATAAAGAAATGGAGTTATAGCCAGGTGAGGAAATGGGTGGTTAGTATGCCCTTTTTTCCGCCAGTTTTTGAATATTCAAAATCTGTGTCTCTATCAATATCTGACCGTTTTCTAACATTTTTTGTCTTAGAGAAATCAGTTGTACAACGTATTACAAAATTGTTTTCCTATGCCTGGCTTTAACATCATGATAATGACAAAAACCATCTATTTGTTAGCTTCAGTCAATTGGTAGAATATTATTGCTATTGCAACTTTAGTAGAATGTATATGTTTACAAGTTTCTGACAAAAGAAATTTGAGTCTAATCTGTATTGATTGGTTGATTGATTGATTTTTATTTGACTTGGAATTTATTTCAGACATTTATTTATGCTAGAGATTACATATATTGATTTAAGATTTGTTTGTTGTTTGATTGAGTAAATGATTGATTAGTTGAGCGAAAAGCTGAGCTGTTGATTTATTGATTGATTTGTTAATTGATTAATTGTTACTTGATTGATGCTTTGGTTGATTGATCATCTGATTGATATTGTGCATGCTAGTATTGTTACTCCAGGTTGACGATTTACATATTTAAGTGCTGTATTACAAACCTTTCATTTCTCAATTAACAGGAAGTCCATTTAAGGTTAAAGTTCATGGAAAAGATGGTGAAATGGTTACAGAAACACTTGTGAGACCTAGACTTGCATCCCCAGTCTCACATATTGGAAACAAATGCGACCTAGGCCTAAAGGTTCCAGGTATGTGCTGTACAATAGTGGAAGAAATATAATGTAGATTATTAAATAACTAAATTTTAATTGCTTAATTCTTCGTATGTTTAGGAAAGTTACTTGCTTTAAATTAAAAATTAGCACAAGAAAATATTGACTATAATTTTATTTAGGATTTTGGCGATTGAACACAATTATTATGTACAACATTTGTCATAAGTTTTAAATATTCCACTAATCTTGTAATGTAACATGCTGTCAATATTATTGCATAGACATGTGACATAGACATAATTTTCTATTGGATACTGCTGTATCCATGTAAGCTTATCTATTGTAATGGAGCTTTTATTTTTTTTTTATTGAGTTTAGTATTAAGGATTTATGAAAATGGTATGCAAATGGCTAACTGTACAACAAAGATTGCTGGTTTGCTTATTTACATATCATTTGCATATGTGTTTATTATCATTTGACAAATCTTAATAAATGAATGATATACAAATAATGTGCAAATGATATGTAAATGGTTATAACTGTAGAATAAAAGTCTGTTTTGAAAACATAATTCAGCAAATTCTATCAGCATGCATGTGTAGAAATACAGTGAAATAACGAGGGCTCACTCATCACTGTGGAAGCGGTTGGCGCAGTGGGAATGGTTTGGTTTCCCAACTTTGAGGTTGGTGTTTCAGTCCTTCACTGTGCACTTCGCTTGTGTCCTTGAGCAAGGCACTTTATCTACATTGCTTCAGACTGCCCAGCTGTATCAATGGGTACCAGCAAATTGCTGGGAGTAACCTATGGTTCCACTTCACACTACAAAAACTGCGGATGAGCCCTAGTGGCTCGACAAGTATTTACTTGCAACCAATCACTGCCCGACTAGCACTGTAACTGGGCTGACATGCATGTTGTTGGAAAGGACGTGATAGCTCAGTATGCCAGACTAGAGGTTATCAGTTGCATTATGGGATAATTGCAGATGCCGATTTTCCACATCACAGTAATATTTTATTGAGATTTTTAGATAGTCTTGACGATGGTAAATCATGCCAGTTTAGTAATGGCATGGGATGTTGGTAAAGGATTAGGAGTAATTTGAGCTCTAGTTGTTAGCACTAACTTGACGTAGCAAGCAAATTGCATGGATCTGTTATGGACACCAGAGATGAACGGTATTGCACTGTGACGCATGAAAACGAATCGAGGATGAAGATTTCAGAAATGAAAGCACGCCAGAAAAAAGATGCAGTTACTGTCATCGCAAATGCCCCTCTTGTTTCCATAGATACAGGCACTACCTTCTCACATTCCTTCTATCATCCACTAAGATATTAAATTCTCATTCAATCCAATTTTCTGCACATTACTGTATTTACTATTTTTTTCTATATCATAACAACTTTATTTTAAAAAACAGAAAAAACATGTACCTGTATCACCATAGTATCACTAAAAAGGGTCAAATAGGAAAACATTCCTGAGTATGAATTAGATATCAGACAATCAATAAATATTTCAATGTAAATTCTTCCAAAATCTAAGTTGAGATTTTTGAAATAATAAAATAATAATACATAAATGAATATGTAAAAATTTAAAGACACCTTTAAATTCCTTTATGAATTCTCTTGCACAGTAGATCAAAATATGCACACATTTAGGCTCCTGTTTGCTTTTGTTATCCAATTATACCTGAATATTACAAATATTATTAAATTAGACAAGAATCATCAAGCAGATAAAGATAAGGGGAAGGCGCCCCAAAGCTCACGCCAACCAATTGACAACATATCCGGCAAACCCAAGAAAAACGGACTGGATGCCACAGACGAGAGTCCATTTGCCAAGTTTGGTGTGAAGCTGAACAAAACCCCGACCCAACCGAAACCGCAGCAACCTAAACCTGCAACTGAAGATAAATATTCAGTTGATGAACTGAGGTCAGCCCATCAACAACCAGAACAACAGAAACCAAAGCAGACTTCTCCAGGGGATTATTATCCCTCAAGCCAACCAATAGCACAAGAACCACCAGATACGTTCCCTAGCAAAACTACAGTCACCAACTCTTACCGGCAGACTAGGGTCACAACAGAGACCAGCGAACACACGATAACTCATTCGATGGACACACTTCCGGTGCGCAACACTGGTGCAAAGTGTGACATAGCAGTGAAGGTACCAGGTTAGTTGGTTGGAAGAAGGTAGTGAAGTAGATAGACAGATAGTTAAGAAGATACTCAGACATTTGATTACCACTGGATGAACATGTTTTTTTCCAGGTTACCCAGTGGCTAACTTGTTTAACCACGTAATAAACTGGTTAATCAGGTTTTCCACCAGGTAATAGCAGTATTAGCAGGATAGATTAGTTAAGACTTTCTGGTAGCTAAAATATATTTTGTTAATTCTCTCTGTTCATGTTGTATGTGAATTTGTGTGGTCAAGATTTGATTTGATTTTGACTTTGAATATATTCCTCTCTAAGGATCTGACCCATTGGATATGACAGCACATGTTACAAATCCTGAAGGAAAAACTGATGATGCAGAAATCATTGATGGATCTGACTGTCGCTACACAGTTCGTTTTGTACCAGAAATGATGGGAGTGCACACCATTAGCGTCAAACATAAAGGAATGCATATTCCAGGTAAACATTTTTTCATAGTTATTTTTTTGATAGAATTTCTAAACAAACAAAGCATTTGTGGTTATATTGTTTTTATATGATCAATAACAAACAAGTAAGACATGCTATTACACTCCACAAAAAAAGTGTTTCTAATTTAAATAATGTAATCTGTATTTGCATTATACATATTATTTAAAAAATGTAGATTCAAAATATTTATTTTTTTATTCTTATTCTTTATTCGCCAAAAAAAAACAAAGTACAATACAATGGTGGAATACATACAGAATACAAGTACAATAAGTTGAAAGAGTTGGCAGGAACACAAAAGTGAACTAAATCACAAAACACAAAGTCTGTAACATAAATACAATATAGTAAATAGTAGAGATCAATTATCATAGAATAAAACAAAATTAACAAAATACAGAAAGCAATTATCTAAATTATTAGAATACAAAAATAAATATAACAAAATATGTAATCATTATTCAGATATCGGTTTCAATTTAAAGAAATTGAATCCAAAAAATATATATTATTTATTAAATATAATTTAAAAGTTAAGATATTTAACATAAAAATGGTATAAGTAAGATAATTCCAATATAAAACAAAATTATTTCCATATTATACTATGTAACGCAGCATTTTATACTGTATTTCCTGTAAAAATAATGTTTCCTAAAAAAAAACTAAAAATTTGTTATCACAAATATACAACTCTTTAACTGTATTATTTTCAGGGAGTCCCTTCCAATTTACTGTTGGTCCATTCGGTGAAGGTGGAGCCCATAAGGTCCATGCTGGTGGTCTAGGCTTAGAACGTGGAGAAGTGAACACGCCCGCTGAATTCACTGTATGGACACGAGAGGCTGGGCCAGGATCATTAGGAATAGCTGTAGAGGGCCCTGCAAAGGCTGAAATCAACTTTACAGACAACAAAGATGGTTCCTGTCAAGTAGCCTATGTGCCAACAGAGCAAGGTAAGATTAACTGGTTTTGTTGGTGTAGTGCTTGAATTAAAATTTTGTTGCTGAGGTTTAATCAAAGTTGTAGCAATCATCTTGTATTTGTATATCTCCTTCTACACACCATAACAGCTGCATTCTCTTTTGACAATAATGAACAAACTTTTGTTATAGTTTTTGGAGTAAATATTAAATTGAATTGAATGATGTTGGATTCATGTTTGACTCTTTTTTCAGGTGAATATGTAATTAAGATAACATACAACGATGAACCAATTCCAGATAGTCCTTTCAGACCATTTATCCAACCATCACTTGGTGAGGCCAGAAGGGTCAGTGTTACAAGCTTACAGGTATGTATACATTGCAAACAAATATATCATTTTAAAAATTAATATATAGAATAAAATTGTATTGTCTATAAATTATCTATTATTACAACATTTTATAGGCAATTCTTTTTCATTGTATCTCCATCTTTTTTCACTTATTAATTATGTGTTTTTTATTTTCTTATATTGTTACTGAAATTGTTTAAATAAATATTGAGTATAAATACCAAGGTCTTTAACTGTTGACTTCCATTTGTTTATGGGGGGTGTTGAGATAATTGTATTGTGTTGCTCATTTGTTATTATATTTGTTTTCCTTGTTATTTTTAATGTTTATTATATGGTGATTATTATTATTGTTAGTGGAATTAAACATAATAAGGCATCATTAACAAAAGTTATGGTTTTTAAATTTTAGGAGACCGGATTGAAAGCTAATCAGCCAGCATCTTTTGCGATCCAACTGAATGGAGCAAAGGGTGAAATAACTGCGAAGGTTGTCTCCCCTACCGGAACAGAAGAAGAATGCCTCATCACCGAGATTGATCGAGGTTGGTCCCTAAGTGTTTCCTCACAAAAATATGATCATTTGCGACATTCATCATTTTGTATTTAATATGCAATTACAATAGTTTGGTACCATACACTAGTCGAAATTGTTATACAAATGTTAGATTAATGAATGAAAAGGTCAAACAAACTGTGCACTTATAAAAAATTAGTTCTCGGTTTTTTGTTTGTTTTTTAAGAGCTCCCAATCAGAATACTTCACTGAGATTTGCTACTGTCTTGTCATCACATTTGTTCTATTCTATATGTTTTTCTTGTGTACATATTTGAATATGCAAAACTGAAATAATTAAGAAGAGGAAATTAAAAATACCATTTGGCGTGATCTATTCCAGATAATTTTGCTGTCAGGTTCTTGCCTCACGAAAATGGTATTCACATGATCCATGTTAACTTCCGTGAACAGCCAATTGCCGGAAGTCCATTCCGTGTTCGTGTGGGCACTCAGGCAGAAGTAGGTGATCCTGGAATGGTTCATGCATCTGGTGATGGTCTTGAAAAGGGAAAAACAGGTAAAACCGCAATAAATTTCAATAACTTAAGTACATGTATATATGTATCACAAATTTCATATACGGTATACTTTTTTTTTATCAAGTTTTGAATCAATATTATTATCATGGTTCTACATTTAATTTTAATTCATTGATATATTTTTAAGGTGAATAATAATTCATTGTCATGGATATTTCGCTATATGTAACTAATTATTATTGAAGTAAGTTTTGTAATTGCTCATTTTCATAAGGTTCAGGGTGATAATTTTTAAAGGTTTTCTCTTTATAAATAAAGACTAATATTATTATTATTCATTTTAAAATATTTTAAAGATTTTTAAAGTATAATAATCTTCAATAATCCATAATTTTATATACCTTGATATATTTTGTATTTTTAATACAAATATTTGATTAAGAATTACTATCTTGATGGGACAGATCTGTGTGATGTGCCCCATATATGGGCATGATGATGTCACATTACACCCAAATATGGGCATATCACATTTATTTGTCACATAGTGTGAACAGAGCTAAAAAATTCATATTCTATTATAATATATGGTTCCACTTTTGCATGTTATGTAGGTCAGCCCTGTGAGTTTGTGGTGAACACGTGTGGAGCCGGTACCGGCGTTCTCTCAATCTCTGTTGACGGTCCATCCAAGGTCAAAATGGATGTCACTGAAGTACCAGAGGGTTACAAATGTTCCTATGTCCCGACTGCTCCGGGCGATTACCTGATTTCTATCAAATTTGCGGGGGCGCACCATATTGTTGGTAGTCCATACAAGGCTAGGATTACAGGTTTGTGATTGGCCCAAGTCTAAACATATCTGTAATACTAATTTTGAGGATTACTGTCAAGTTTTGTCCTGTGGGTGTGCCTTTATTTTTTTGGGTGTGGCTTTCTTGTCAGTAACAGTTTGTTTTGTCCTTCCTTTCATACCCTGTCCTTTAATTATTTATCCTTCATTTCATCCCTTATAATTTTATGTCATCCCTTTCATCTGTTATATTATTTTGTGTCCTCCCTTCCATACTCAGTAATTTATTTTGTCTTCCCTTTCATCCCTTATCCTTTCATACTGTGTCCTTTTCATTCACTATCATTGTATTCATTTTCCTGCCTTTCCTCCTCTGTTCTTGTATGTTATTCTTTAATAAAAGCATCGTCAGGTTTGTATTATCCTTTCATTCCATTTCTTCCTTAGTTTGTTTACTCATTACTTTTTTTCCTGTCACTTTTCTTTTGCTGTTGTTTACTATCACTTTGTATCTTTGTTGATTGATTTGCTGTGCGTCTCCTACTAATCAGTCAGTCAGTCAACCAACCAATCAATCAATCAATCAACCAATTAGTCAGTCAGTCTCATTCCTCCACTGCAGTGGGAACCCTGTCCTACAGTACTTTCCTTTTTTTGTGTTGTGGCTAATATATTAGCAACCAAATTCTGAAATTACATTAAGATACATACAAATTAATTTTATTAATATCTTTAAATTTTGAAGGATGTCTCTAAGGACCTCAGCTAAAAATATTGTCTATTCCAGCACTTAATGATTTCTTTGGAATTATGTGCTTAATTTTATTATGTAAAACAAAACAACAAAACACAAAAAAAAACAATTCTGCAAGTAAATTTTGATAAACAAAAACCCAGTTAATTGATTGACATGATGAAATTGTCTTGGAGTTATGGCCCTTTTTGTTTTTTGGTTTTTTTTTTAACTTAAGAGCAGTTCAGGGTTGTTTTAGCATTGGCCACAAGCAGTAGGCCCTTTGACTTTAAGCATGTCTTATCAAAACCATAATAAATATGAATAATATGACTTAAGCACATAGAGGTCTTCATGATAAGCACTATATAAGTCCACCATTATTATTATTATTAATATATAATGTGATGCTTTGGATGTATTGGATGAAGACTCTTCTTCTTAGCATCTTTGGTGATCTGATTTAAATTCTACATTCATTATAACAACATAATTCTTTATTCATTGTTTTCTCTGAATATCATTCCAAACTGGCATTACAGAATTCCTCACATACGACTGTTGCACCTCAGAAATTGGTTTGTGGTGTGAAATCTGATCCACAAATGGTTGTTGGATTGGTTTATATTTAATTTTGCATGTGTCACAGTTTCCTTTTCAATAAATTAAACTGGAAAGCCAGTTTTACAATTTCCAAATATTTTTATGAAAACAAACAAATTTAAAATCATTACCAGGGGTGCTGTGTCTCCCGGAAGTCGCAGGAGCCTCCTCAAAATCAGGACGGCCTCCAGCACTCCCGCCACCAAGCAAGAATCCCCCGCCAATAACCGATCTTCCGCAAGTTAATAGTATTTGCATGTTTTTACTACTTTATTATCAATTGTCTCACGGAAGGCAGTGCCAATGGTATCACCATGCACAGCAAAATATAACTAAATATGTTAAGAAAGCTCATTTAATCAGATCTCCCAGAACGGATTTCTTCCAACTTTGCATCCCTGCATTACTAGAAGCAATATGAATATTAAATATTTACATATTCTCCATAATTTAAGTCTATAAAGTTATTAAACATTAAAAAAAATGGTATTCCTTTTTGAAAAATACTACCATAATCAATTAAACAACACATGCATATGCATTCATATTTTATATCTGTTTAGGGCCAGCAAAAACACCCGTCCTTCGAACACATGAAACATCAAATGTTATCATTGAAACGGTTACCAAGACGCAAACCTCGCAGATGCTTAGCAGTTTGCCGCATTTCCACTCAAATGCATCAAAGGTTACGTCAACAGGAATGGGTCTGAAGAAAGCATTCCGAAACAAGAGGAGTCAGTTCACAGTAAATGCAGCAGATGCAGGTAAATAGCCAATCACTTATTAGAGGTCTGATGATTAACTGGTCATGTGATGGATTAGTCATGTGATTGATGAGTCAGTGAATAACTGCTCATGCGATTGGCTTGCACACCTTAAGCATTGATGGTCATTTGAATGCATGGGGTATTGAATGATTCACTTGAAGGCCATGATATTGGATGGCCATTAGAAGGTGTATAACATGTCTGTATACATAGGCAGAATCCCTAAGTCTAAGTGGTGGAAGTCTCCTGGATATGAGGATGGCTTTCCACACTCCCGCATGCAAAAATATCCCTGAAAAAAATAACCCATCTCGCAAATTCTTAATATTTACATGTTGTTACTACTTTATTAGTCACATGGAAGGCAGTGCTGATGGGTGAATCACCATGTGCAACAAAATAAAATAAAATAAAATAAAATACTTTGTAAGAAAATTCTTTTAACCAAATCTCCCAGAAGGGATTACTACCAACTTTGGACCCCTGCATAGATAAGATAAGTTAACATTTATTGTCCAATAAAACAACTGGAAATAAGATAACCTGATTTGCTAGTTAAACAAACTTAGTATAAAGCAAATGCCAAATGAAATAAGACTGACCTGTGATTCAATACACATCAATCCACCTCCTAGTTTTAGGTGGAGCAAAAGATTTTAATATTTTGCTTCATGTAAATAGAAGTGGATGTGTAATTTTTTCTGTGTGGAGTGAAGTAGAATAGCTTTGTTATTAAGATGCTAGCTTTCCAATCACAGGGTCCTGGGTTTAATTCCTGTCACGGTAACAGGATTTTTTTCTCACGACCAAAACAACTCCTCATAATGAGGCTATGGAAAGCCTCTTTGTATATGTTAGTCCTGTGAAAGGATTGTGATTAGTTCACTGTTTAGCATATCCTTGGCGCTTAATAAAAAAAAATGTGCTATTATTTTTGCAGGTCACAACATGCTAATGGTAGGTATTGCAGGACCGAAGACACCATGCGAAGAAATTCTGGTTAAGCATAATGGACGCAATCGCTTCATTGTAAACTACACTCTCAAAGATATAGGCGAATATATGTTGGTTGTGAAATGGGGCGATGAACACATACCTGGTAGCCCCTTCCATATCAAGTGCAGTGTCTAAATATAATTACCAAAAAATATAGTCTAGAATTGTTCTAATTGGTTGAAAACCATATGAACTCAGTAGTCACCATGACGATAGAAGAACATGTGTAAACAAAATATACATGTCATAGACACGTTTGATTTCACTACTGGCAGTGGTTTTTAAGACCGTCTACTGTTTCTACATTTTTTTATAGCTTTATTTAAATGAAAAATACGGTGTTTTTTCTCCCTCTATGATAATGTGTTAGTGAAAAGCAGTGGATATTATTGCTTAATGTATAATTTCTTTGTTATTATTTGCTTCTTGTTAATATCTTGCTTGTTTATCAACATTTATTTATCCATGTTTATTATCTACTTGGATTCTTATATGATTGATAAAATTTTGGTAGCTTTATAATTCTAAAATATATATTGTTAATGTAATTGTAATAAATGTTCTATCTTTTGGCCTTGATTGGGGAAAGTATATTTAAACTTCCTCGTTAGCTTAGAATGCCTGAACACAAGGTGTGTGCAATTAGCTATAACATAGAAATAGTTTATTTAAATACAAATACAACATTTTTTCATGAATATCGACTATTCAAAATAAACCGTTTGATGTAGTCTTGTAATTGATGTGCGAATTGTAGCTTAATTAGTAAGAGAAAAATTGTAATCTACGCTAAATCATGTTTGGATGGTAGAGTAATCAATTAAAAGGGCGTTAAACACATTTTTACAAAATAAATGTCTTCCATTCAAAACAGAAGTGCTCTTAAAACTTTGATTAAGAGTTGTCACTATTTTACAGGACTACACCTGTTAAAACCAATATGCAAGTGACTTGCAGAATACTAGTTGTGAATTAACATATTGATATGGTTGAGTGAATCTATGTGTAGTAATTCAAAGTAATAATTAATTATATTATTACTAAATTTTGTTAAATTCAAGTCTGGTATAAATATATTTTCAGTTTTTTTGTTTTTCCTTCATTCAATTCTAGTCATAAAAATTAACCCAACTGTGTATTCAGCAGAATAATAATGGATGGTACTTACACATTTTGAATATCTTTGTATACAGTAGTAGTGTATTATCCATAAACATAAATTGCAATCTTTCTATATGTATTCATGTGTTACTCATACAGTATATCATTTTTTTTTACAAAATATATTGCGATTATTTATATTGTTATACTAAATTGTTGGTAAGATATATGGTTAATTCGTGTATAACTTAACATTGTTCTTTTTTAATTAAGGCAGTATAACAACTAACAAGTAATCATGTATTTAGGTTATAAATTAGAATGGATCTCTGTCAAAAGTTTAGATTTGTGCTAGATAATTTCTTATTACCTGCATAACTAAATCAAGTATTTGCAAACTATGTCTTGAATAAAGAAGCTAATTTTGCACTGATGAATTTACCCTTTTCTTGCTATTTCAATGGTATTTTATTGTACATTTGAGAGGTGGTATGGCTTGGTGGTTAAGATGCTTGCATTATTCCAATCCAGTTGCAGCATGCATAGGTGACGGCACGGTTTAAACATTAGTTGGGATTGGTAAGCACTTTGTGTGTGAGGGAGTGAGAAGGTGGGCCAGGATGTTGCTGAAAATTTAGTGGTTTTTTTTTTACATTCTGTGAGACTAATTTGGTGATTTTTTTAAAATAATTTAATCATACCTTCCGACCACAATATACAACAGCCAACTGGTGATGCCTCAGCATGTTTTATCAAAATATATACTATTAAAGATTTTTTGGTAAACAACTGGTGGGGCCTACTCAGGAGGTTTGGCCCACCCACTAAAATTGCTAATAAATGCTTTTTATACACCATGTGCTGAGATGCCGTCATTGTTGGTTTTGAAAGACATTTTGGAATTGTCCTAGCTACTATGCTGATCGGAAATATAATAATGCTCACCAAGTCAAGTCTTGCCATTTCGTAGGCCTAGTCAGAGATAATTTATGAAAATTAATATCATGCCACTTCCAATAGTTACACACATTCACTTCCATGCGACATTTAATTGTGGTGTTGCCATATGCAAATAAGCTGTAAACAAAAAGACAAAACAGGGATAAGCTACATTCACAAGGTAGTTAGTCATTCCATAGACTTTGTTTCAATGAAGATTGTAGATTTACTAAGGGCTATCTGGGCTTTCTCAGATCCAGCAATGTAAATCCAATGCAGTCGCAATGTTCTATCAAATCAAAGATCGATCCACATTATCTACTTTGTATCAGGATGATTGTACGGATTTGAATGAAGAAATTGGGTTCCAAAACAATGAGAAAAGGCAATTTAAAAATTCTAACTTGAGTGTACCACTGCGTGCTCCTCCTCAAAATATACAACTTAAGTTGCACTTAAATGGCTTGCACTACACTTGTGCCCAAAACAATCACGGCGAACAACTAAAAAGAACGTTCGATCTATTTGAGCTTAAAGGGAAACATGGAAGTAAGTGCAGCGGAACACTATTAATAAGGCCTATGATATAATTTGCAGACAGTGGTGGTTGGAAATTTGTTCTCCCTCTACTGGGCCTGCATTCACTAGGCTACCAGCGTGCACAAAAAATGCCTATTTGCGTGCCGATATACCTATTTGCGTACAATATAACTATCGGCGCATGCAAATACTGTAGTCAATCGTATAAAAAGGTCACCTGCGAAACAAGTAGGCGGATATCATGTCAGTGACCGATCTGTACTTTGTCAAAATGCAGACTTTCTCCAGACTAGTAAATTGATTACGTAATATATCAACAAAAGGCAAACCGTCTCGACTTGAGATTAACCGATTGGTACGCTCGAACGAGTACGTTTACAGTGTAGAACACACGTTTATACTTCCACGAAAACTGACGTTTGCTTATGTTTATTCATGACGCTGTTATCAATTGTTTATCGTAGTGATAATATGTCCATGTTTAAACTATAAACACAGTATACTTTTTTATAATTTATAAGAACACTGAGGCTGAAATTCGCTTAAAAATGAGGTTTTTATTTTTTTAATAAAAAAAAACCAACAATCTTATCTGTAGCCTTTCTTATGTGGACTATTCTATGTAAATAAATACCCTCTGTGATACATAGTAGAGTAAAATGTAAAATATACTACTGTGAAATAATAATTTTCTATCTTTAAAAAGTACGTAAAAAACAAAACAAAACAAAATGTATTTAAAATATAGTCTTGTTTAATAAGTCACCTGCTTTTTTTCAACATGAATAGACACTTGTATGAAATTTCACCACACCAAAGAACAAAAAAATAAAATAACACAGGCCTATTTCTAAAAAAAATAGGACGCGATTTCCTTTCTATATTTCAAATACAATCATTCACCAATCCCGTTTTAATTTTGTTTTTTTATATAAATTTATCGAACTCGTCCCTTCCACCACCCTCCAAATGTATGCATAACGGTGACATTATTTTTTCATAGCCCTGTGTGTGCAATTGACATAAAGAAACTCTATATTGTCCTCTTTTCCCACAAAGAGGGCATTTAGTATTAATCGATTAGTAAGTGAACTATATCTCATACTGCTTTATTATTATTTGATGGTTATTCATATGATTTTAGGACTTTCTGAACCAGATACTAAAGGTAGGTCTACGATTTGTTGATCTGGTTACTGATGCAGTGACCTCACTGAGTGTTTTAACATAACCATACATCTAGGATCAGGGTCTATGATGCAACAAAAAGGCGTGTTTTCTAATTCCATTGATCGCGTAAGAATAAACTAAGTCTTGTTCAATAGAGCGTTAACAGATCCGAAGTTGGGCGCTTTGTTTTACGAAATTGTTTTCGTAGGTATTTGCATAGGAATCTGGACCAAGATGCTGATTAAGACTTTTGAGTGAAAAGCTGGTGTCACGATTAACATCGACGTACTGCTCTTGATTTTTCTTTCGTATTCGTGGATTGAAATATATATGGTGAAATGCAAGAGCGCGTTCTACTTGAACAGGTAAGATAAAACAGTTTTTAAAACAAATACATTTTGTTGTTAAACAGGAATTCTAAATGTTAGTTTCCAATAATGTAAATACCTCAAGATACGTCATGACTACACGAGGAAGCAATTGAAACGGACACATTGTAGCTTATTTTACAAGCGAGTATTGAATACTTTATATTTAAGTGTATACTGTATAATACATTTTGAATCTAATTCCAAATATATTGTTCATAATATGCTTTCAAAATCACGTGTACAGGTCTACACGTAAATTTTATTGTAGTATTCATTGGAATTGGTAGTGGTTCAATTTGAATTTTTAGTGGTCATATTTGAATTTTTAGTGGTCATACCTAAGCCTATGCAGGTGATAATATTGGTAAGCATAAATGTGTGCAGGCATATGCAAACATTGAACAATCTTCTTGTGCTTCTTAGCGTTAGGCCAGGGGTATGACCATATTACGCACAACGTCCAGGGTATCGCTGAGTGATTACCAGGGCAGTGGTCATCCTGATCGCTGCCCTCGATTTGGCTTACGACTCCGGTTAGTTTTGAAGCTAAAATACCGTAGGTATAGTTTTGATATAGGCCTATGAAATAAAGGCGTTCCTGAAACACTAACAGATGGCCATCCGCCCTCAAGCTACTTTCACAATGATTTATTTGGAATAAACAATAAAAATATTGTTTCTGTATTTGAACACGATACTGAAAAATTGTAGAGATAACACCACTGCTTCCTAAGTTCATTTGTCGGTAGATGAAGCCGGCAGCTGGCGTCATACATTTAATAAATTAAAACTTTTAGGAATATGTTAATTTCAAGGTTAACTTCTGTAATTTGTTATATACTCGTTTAATTTTTTCGTTATGGTTGTTTAAGCATGGACCTATTAATAAGAGCTTATTAATAGGTCCATGGTTTGAGCAAGATGGTGTTGTTGTGGCCATAGGTTTGTGTTGAGTACCTCTGGCCCTATGTAACGTCGACGATTTAAGTGTAATATCATCAGTGGTGTATCTAGGGGTGTCGCACTCCCAAAAAAAAATATTCCCCTGTCTCCTCCCTATTGTAAATATTTGGAGCAAAAATCACGCTCAATTAAGTAGTCAACAATCCTCAAATCACCTTATTTTGCGAGATAGTACCCCCTCACCTAATCATAGAGGCCCCACTTCACCTAAGCACCCCCCCCCCCCCAATTATTGGATACGACACTGAATATCATGACTAAAAAAAAGCAGTCAAGAATGATGGTCCTATATCTCGTTGTTTCCCATAGAATGAAGCTGAGAACGATGACACTCTCAACGAGCAGGCCGATCTTGAGCATCAGAAACGGATAAGTGAGCCCGTGGGTTCGGTTTCTGGAAATATCAACGACGACTTTGTTCCGATGTCAATGTCCAGTGTAAACCCGTCGGTGCGTGACGCATTGGTGAAGATGGGAGAGACTCAATTGGGATGTAATCCTACGAGTCCCGGTGGCAACAGTATGTATTTTAATTTAGACAATATGGAGGCCCGAACGTAAAAGCCTACGTATAGATAGATTAGACCCATGTAGGCCTCAATGGTTTCATGTTATTTTTTCTTTTTAAATATCTTAATAAATGGACATCTGATTTCTATTAACCAGTTAATATAGGCCTACTTCTTTTATCTCGTGGCCATAGTTGATGTTCAAAGGTACGTTATGCCTACACATGACAATAAAGGTGTTAAATGTAAATTGACAAACAAAATAAATTCTTTGAGCTGTTATGATTTCCTTTTTTCTGTTCTAATTTTGATAGTAAATGGAGAAAAAATGATTTCCCATCCAATTGAACAAAGCTTGTCTAAAGCCAAGTCATCTATCGCTGGCGAGTGCAAGGCGAGCAGTCACCGTTCTAAGCGGTTTGCAGACGATAGTAAGAACAAACGTTCACGTACAACCTTCAACGCGGCTCAAATCAGCGCACTAGAAAGAATATTTAAAGAGCAACAGTATCCTGATCAAGCATTGAGAGAAAAGATTGCCGAAAGACTAGAAATGGAGGAGCATAAAGTTGTGGTAAGTAGTTCACCCTTTCCTTCTCATTTACCCCTAAGACTGTACGCCACTGAACCGATCTAATAACTGCTCTACTTGCATTGTTCATTAATTTATTTATTCATTACACTATTCAAAAGACTACTTACAGTTAGGTTACACGATGACATAATATCCTACATATTCACAAACTACGAGGAATATAATAGTAGGCCTATATAAGTTAACGATTGTTTCTTTTATAGATTTGGTTTCAGAATCGAAGAGCAAAGTTAAAGCGCAATAATGCAAATTTGAAGAATACGTTAGTTACGGCTCCGATACAGGATACAATCTGCCTGGAACGTGTGCAGACGATCGATCAACACAGCGTACTTGGCGGGAATTCTAAATGGGAGAGTCAGCACGTGAATGCGAGTGACTCGTAAGTAGATACCATAGACAATTTCTGCACCTCCAGCTGATAGCTACGATACATGAGATGTCAAATTGTCCTTAACAGTGTCATTCTTACCTCATAATTAAATTTACGAATTTTCAAAAACTTTAACTATTGTCGGCCTAATACAAATAATTATAAATATGTATTGGTCTATAGTCACTTCTTATACTGTTCTACTATAAGATCGTGAAAAAACCTAAAAATACACTTAAATCTTAAAAAGTTTAAAATGTGCACACTCTCAATGTAAAGCATGTTTGCATCTTTTCACAAAGATTAATTATTAACGCGTAATTTTTTATACTTTTTCAGCTACACTGTTAATCAACAAAATTCATTACAAGATAGCAGCGTACCGGTAACGAATTCGTATCATTTTGACAAGCCCACTCCAATGCTTCATGGAATTCCAGAGGGCACTGTATGTTCTAGCCTCCAAGAAAACTACACATTTAGCAACGACACTGGATGTGCCAATGACGTTAGACGCAGTTTGGTTCAGCTGGCGTCGGATGGCATTACTTCTTCTCCCGAGCCAGTAGCCGTGTCAATGGATAGCCCAAGTGACACGGGAGACGTTTCCTCTGCGTTGAAACCAATACCAACCTTGAAACCAGACAAACCTCTAATTCAAGAACCACCCCCTAATCAAATTTGTACCAATGCTGGTTGTCAAGATGAGATGAGACAGGCTCTGATGCAATGGCGGACAAAACTAAATATGGCTGCTACTATTACCTCTCAACAACAAACTATCAACTCATCGACTTCGCTCTCGTCAGGAATATTAAATACTTCACAAAATAAAATATCTGCACATGTAGATAGGTCATTTCAATTCCAGACTGGCATTTATGAAGATACTTGTATGTATTCATCCTCTTCCACATCTTGCTCCGAGAGTGATGAGGACGAAAACTGTTTAATGAACCAGAGAAACAAACAATTTCCATACAAATTCCACCCGCCTGAACATCATAAAGTCGATTCATCGAATACCCAACAGTATAGGACATTTAACAGTGCCCCCGCCTTAAATCAACAGGATCTCTTATACCTCGACATCCCGTCAGTCTCTAGCAGTGACATGTCGTCTCCAGCTCCACATTCCACCACGAGCTCCACGTCCTGGTTATCTAGTGATTTGTCCTCCGTTGATCTGTCATCGCCCTTAAGTCAATTGGATAACCAGAAACCAGTACCCCAGATAAATATGTCTGGGCCAATGGGATTTGATTGGTCGAGCAAATGCAATGAAACACCAAATAAACCAACTTACATATCACACGTCACCAATCCCTACGCAGGTGACATATTTTTGCCACCGTTAAGAAGAGACGTTGAGATGCCAACGCAACGCTCTCGACGGCGGGTAAAATGGCGCCGAATCAGACACGAACAAAGACGAAAATATCCAGTTAGGACAAACAAACACAACAAAAATTCTGATAAATATATGTACTATCCTGGTAGTATGGAAATGCACATTAAACGACAAGACCGTTGCATGTCAATGGAAGGCATTGCACATACGGGTCAAAGGGAGCCATTTACATCGGATAACTTTATATCAGTTCCAGGTCCGAATACCACACGTTCTCAGTGCAAGTATGCGCAACAAGACTCAGCATATATTGAACAGCAATATGAGCAACCGAATCATAACCAACGGCAGTCGAACGGGCAATCAAAACGCCGACATCTGAACAACCATCGTCTTCACTGTACAGGCAATCTTAAGTATTCTCAACACCATATGCCAAACCAAAATATGATGCCAACTACCGCAGAAGAACTGCGATCAGCTACCAGAATACAGAAAAGCGATAATGGATTAGATGAAAACTACTCCTCTTCATCGAATAATAATACTGGGGATGTGATTCCTTCTAATCAGAATCCATTGATGATCTTTAACGGGGGAAATTCTGCTCGTGATGGAAAGTCACTTGATCAGCACAGAAATAGGGCTCCATACTCCCAAGCCACACCAGAATGGAATAACCCAATTATGGAGGTACATGTTCCTGTTCATCATCATCGGCGTCCAAAACAGCCACAGCCAACGAGGGCAGAAAAGGGTGCAACGTCCGGGGTTGTGCACCACTATGGTGGTGATGAAGAGGAGTTAGATATTCCCCCACTCCAGGTTGAATCAGTATCTGATTTGTCGTCTAGTTTAAATGCTGACCAATCAGCAGTTTTGAATCGTGTTTTAGAATCTGTTGTTAAAGACATATTTCCATTTTCAGACAACTTTATATCTATATGAAAGATCATTCCGAATTTAATGAAATATATAATTTGTTTCCTTACAAATAATTAATGTATAAACCACCCAAAAAACTCAGCTCAATGGAATTTTCTTGTTTTTTTTATTTATTTTTTTTATAAATTTTTTTTTTTAAATGTTTTTTTTTTTTTTTCTATTTCTGGAGGTTTTTTGTTGGTGTTGGTACTAAATGTATTTAGTAAATCCGATTTGATTGATTCATATGCGATAATGCTAAATATTATTTTTAATTAATAACGTTGACCAGAAAAAGATATCACAATATCTGCGCTATGAAAGACTTACAAATAAGTTTACACAATTTGTTGTAAAAATAAATTTATTAGATATAATTCTAATATATAATTTGTTTCCTTACAAATAATTAATGTATAAACCACCCAAAAAACCCAGCTCAATAGAGTTTTTTTTTGTTTTTTGTTTTTTTTTTTCTATTTCTGGAGGTTTTTGTTGGTGTTGGTACTAAAAATATTTAGTAAATCTGATTTGATTGATTCATATGCGATAATGCCAAATATTATTTTTAATTAATAACGTTGACCAGAAAAATATACCACAATATCTGCGCTATGAAAGACTTACAAATAAGTTTACACATTGTGTTGTAAAAATACATTTATTAAAATATAACTGAACTGAATGTGTTTGTGTTCTATAATTGCTTGTCTCTTATGGTTGATGAACGATGATGATAACGATGATGATGATAGTGGATGACGATGATGGTGATAGCGATGATAATGATGGCGATGATGATGATAAAATTACCCTCCGTGCTCAAGGCACTTGAAAAAGTAAAACGGCGATGGTGTGGCGTATGAACATGAAAACATCATGATATTTACTAAACCCATAATTTATAACTAGCATATATCCGTGTTCCGCACGGTGTTAAATTAGATTGAAAATTTGACGAGGCATAATGAAATTGAGAAGGCACTCAATGAGGATGTAGTTACCTTGTTATTAATTTTTATGGACCTTTTTGCAGATAATGTTTTGCGTGAGTGTCTCTGCCGAATAGTCTATGTGAGGAATTGTCCATTGAAGTACCTTGAAGTATAGTACCCTATTGCATGTGAAAATGCAACATATACAGTAATAACGTATTAACTCCGACGTGTTCGGTGTTTGAATGTGGTATTGTCTGATTATATATGGCTATGATGTTGGCATGTGGGACTTGTGACATGCATATATTAGATCGGATGCGTGGCACAATGACTTCATGGCAGTTATGAGCTTTTGAAGTAATCAGCAAGAAAATTTGTAAATTTTGCCAACAAAAACACATGTAGGATAGCAAAATCGAGTCCTAATGTAACTGATGTTCGTCCCGTTGGTGGTAGCTAAAACACGTGTGAAAATTATAATTGTACTTGAAATACTGTTGGACAGAGAAAAACACAAACCGCTATTTTAGTTGTTTAGATTTAAAAGAATAACCAAAGAAACAGAAATGAAATCCAACGAAAAAGCAGAGGAGCCGGTATCAGTTTTCGGTTCACCACCAGTCTTTGAGGGATCGCTGGCACATAGATAGGACTCTTTTATAATGATCATGCAAGTCTGTGCATTTTCCTTATGTCTTGGGAGTAAAGCCTGACTTCCATACAAGCGCTACACGCTATTGGCCGCCAGCTTTCGGTGATGCTGATTGGCCAGTCGGGGACTGCTACGCAGTAGAACGATTGCACTGAAAAAAACTAAAGCGACAATGCAGCGATTTTAAGGAAATCACACTTATAAGGCACTTCACCTACGTTTGTATATTTTCACATAGGAAGTTTAATGATAGACAGACCATAGGCCTGCAACCAGTGCGGATGGCGTACAATATGATACACACACACAGATATACATACACATAAACCTATATTGTCCATATAGTGCATATAAGTACATCAGCAAACACCGACACATCTATCTGTAATAGTTATAGTGCTAAAAAGATAAATACAATTTAGCGTAATAATTAGTACAATTCCCAAATTAACAGCTTTTTTAAGGTACCGATCCCGTTATATAACAGAATCCAACGACCCACAATCACATCACATGTCGTATTCAAATCCATATTGAGAAAGAGAGACGTAAATTAATTGCTCTTGTAACTTAATTTCGTAATTTCGTTGAGATTTGTAATTTTCGGACCATTATAATTGTTACCGTTGTTTTAGTTCTTTGTGTGACGATGTAGAGGGCTCCCGTTGGGTTTTTCTGACGAACGCCTACGACGTCACCGCTCTAAGCATTTTGCAAAGAGTTCCATGATTCTGCTGCACGCGCGCCGCCTGCGGCTTTCGTGTGGCATAAATCCGATCGGAACTCTAATAATAATTCACATCCTAACTGAAAACGAATGGTTTGGACTTGTTTAAAATCATGTTTAATGTCTTTGATTCCGCATAGAAGGTTCGTTGTTAGTTTTTGCAACGATATAGACAGTAAGTGATGGTAGAAAATGAATTTATTCACTAGGACTGCCCTAGAATAATGCTAGGCCTACCTAGCCTAGGCTACCCCTGTGCTAGGCTAAGCTTAGCTTCGCGGCTTGAGGCTGACCAATCCCTAGGCCTAGTATAGGCTATACCTAGTGTAGTAGTAGTAGTAGGCATATCATAGGCTAGGCACACTAGATAATTAGGCCTAGGCTTGTTAAATATTATCCTACCATTTAGGACTAGGCGTAGTCTAATCATTGGGTCTTGTTAATTTAAAACTTCATGTAAAAAAAGGTATAATCGGTGTGTGCCAACGACCATCATAGGTGCAGTATGTGCCTGACTTTTTCCTGTTGATGTAATTAGTAAGTAATAAAATAATTAATAAAATCAGAGATGGTTTGAATTTGTTTGATGCCAGATAATCACTGGAATAAAGTTTAAATGATTTTGTTGCATGCTATTTTCAAAAATTAAACCGAAATATTTACAACTCACCATGCTTTGTTTTTTTTCAATAATTTTGCAGGTTTTACTAATTAATTAAGATGGCAGAAGGTAGGAGTGATGCACGAATCAAAGGCAATCGCTTAAAAGAAATTACACTGAGTGGTAGAGAAGGAAAAATTGTCAGAAATTCCCATGACTGGGCCGTAGTAGATGTACCTGGTGAGGGCTGGGCATTTTTTAATTTACTAACAGTAAACAAAACATCAAAATTCCATATTGAGGACGTTAGCAAATGTTTTCCTGTTGGTTCAGTTGTACGCCTCAATGCTAGAATGTGGCTGGATCCTGAGGGTAGCGTTTACACAAATGAGGATGTTCGCAGTTGTAAATGGATAGTAAACTCTGTAAAATCGAAACCTGATCTAATACCTCTTCCAGTTATGTTTAAGACTGCTTTTAATTTTGATAACTACAATGTTCCTCCTGTTGTCTTGTCAGAAGAAAAAGTGGGAGAAGCCATTTTTGGAATAATGAAGAGGTTAAAGGTCATTAATGGATTGCCTGTAACGCAGCTTGTAAACACTTTCAAAAATGAATCATCTAACATTCCTCTCGATGTCCGAACTATGCTGTGTGACACTGGAAAATTAAGAACACTTGTGCAGTGCTTGCCTAGATATTTCCTAGTTACAGACGACAGAGTTTTTATTTATGCTTGCCGGGAAAAGGAGGAGGTAGACATTGAAATAGAAAGTTTGATACCAGAAGGCTGGAGACCTAATGAACCCATTTGTGTGAATGTCGGTCACAATACGCACATTATTGAAAACCCTGCAGATTGTGCTGCTGTCGTTGAGGAAATTCTCAGTGGGCCAAAACCAGTAACAATAGCATTAGACTGTGAAGGGGAATCTTTAGGTAGGTAAAACATGCAAGAACAAGAGAACTATGTTATTCAACATCTTGTTCTCCAGCTTTTACGACACATTCTAAGTTAATTAAAGTAACATCGGCCTACCTTAGCCTTAGAAGTAGCATAGAAGGGAAAGAGATAACACTCTGCCCCCTTTGCTGATTTTTCATAGTGGAACACAAAGTTCTACCAGAATGTAGTGGGCGCCCTAGTATATTGATTGTTGAAGGATACTTTATTCTATGCCTACCACTCGTCATGCCATACATGTTTTGTTTAAAATTTAGTGTGCTGTATTACTGTTTCAAATTGTATTTTAACACGGCCCCAGAGAAGAACAGCCATTGGCTGAGTCTGGGCCACGTGTATAAATATAAGTGTAATAAATATAATAAGGTTTATTAACACAGAACCACCTATGTATTTGCCTTGTTCACTGTAATGTGAAATACACTTGAAATTATGTAGAACAGTCATATTTCCCAAAAATTCTACATTAATTTTTTTATTTGAAGGAGAAAAAGTAGATATCTGAAAAACCTTTCTTACAATAGATGATAATTAGAACTAAGAGTGACAAAGCTAAAATTGATTTCATTCTGTAGGTAAGACCGGGAAATTAACACTTCTACAAATGTCCACGTGGAGCGGTCAAGCATATTTAGTGGACGTGCTGGCCATACTTGAACCAAATCAATTTTTTGTAGGAGGAGGTTTGAAAAAACTATTAGAAAGCCCAGATGTAATTAAGGTAAATCCTTTTATTTTAAAATATTTTTTACAAATTTATTTTAATATACTATAATATTCTAACAAGTCATTGTAGAACACAAAATATACATTTTATTCATGTTTTTATCTTGTGAAAGGTGATTCATGACTGCCGTGCAGACAATGCTGCCCTCTATCATCAGTACGATGTCAGTCTAACAAATGTGTTTGATACAGCGGTACGTAATTTCATTTCAGTATTATAGGAATTAAATTTAAAAGATACTGAATATCAGGGGCGGATCCAGTAGGGGTGCACAGAGGCATTTGCTCCTCCCATTTTGCCGCTAAATTTTAAAAATTTCAATGCAAATCAATGCTATGTGCTACTTACTTTCTATTTTTAAATTGTTGTGGCCCCTCCCCCCATCCCATTTGAAATATTCTGGATCCGCCCCTGTATATTAGAATGAAAGAGTTCAGTGTCACTCTTTCATTCTTGTATACATGACATAGTAATCATGACCTCTGTGACTTAATTCAATATTTGCTTTGTGTCCTTGAATGTTTTCTGGAAACAATATAAATAAAATTGAATTTATTGTTGGTGTTACTGTGTCAAATTTTAATAGAAAGCTTTTGTTATGTCGTTTAAGAACCAATTCACTGAGAAAATTTCTCGTTCTTGTTTAAGAAATAGTTAGCTTTCACTGTCCCTTGCCCCCAAGAACAACTGTTCACTAATGTAATTTTTCAAAGTTTTGAATGAGCACTTGTTTTATGCAACGCCCTGTCCAGATGATTATGCCCATATATAGTCATGATGTGCCTTTAAATGGTCATGATGTGATGTCATCATGACCATATTTAGGCATGTCACATGTTTTTGCCAAATAAATTTGGTAGTCTGGAACAGGGTGTAATGGCAAGTGATCAGTTATGCATTATAGTGGCAGAGAAAGAGTTTTTTTATATAAATTTTAAACCAATGAGTGATGAATTTTTTAAATATAATTTAGGTGGCTTACACTGTGATTATGGAGCAGTGCCATGCAAACCGATCCAATGGAGGCAGTCTAGAACATCTTTGTGAACTTTTCTCAAAACCTCTTGTCACAAAAACAAAACAAATGAAAAAGAAGATGGCGTACGTTAAAGGCTTTTGGAGTCGGCGACCCATGACACCCGAGATGATCAGATATGCAGCTGTTGATGCGCTTTCTTTGGTTCCACACGTATACGTGAATATGAAAAGGTAATTTGGAATTAGTGATTCTCTCTCCCAATTTTCACTGTATGTGGGGACAGTAGACAAAAACACCTGCTATAATTTATAGGAGTGCAACAAAAAAGTGTGTATATCAGTAATGTATTCCATGAGTGTCATGAAATTCCTTTCCTCCGTGGTTAATTAGTAATTGGTATAACATCACCTTCGGAATTATGCAAGCGAAATGCGCAAGTGATTCAAACCCTGATCTAAGTGTTTAAACTTGAGCCATAACCACTGCGTCAAATACTCTTATATGGAGTTTTTTTTAATTTAAGATGAGTATGGGGAAAATAGACTTGCATTTAAATTTAAGTTTGTGTGTGGCATTTCCAACCATCATAGGTGACAAAGACAACAGATTTTGTACCTCGGCCAACAACCATGGTGAGACTGAGGTAGTCTTGACCATCATCTGTAAAATTCTCTCCCCGGGCCCCCACTATTTAGAATCCCGGGGACTGCTGCTGGCATGTAATGACAGTGTACTGTAAAATAATGATGAATTTTTACTATATTATTATGTTTGTCTTGCAGATTGATTCATACGGGTTGGCAGTCTCGGTATGACACCCTGATCACAGAAAAGCTCCTTAAAAGGAAATAACAAACATTCAACAACTTCCTCCTGTGCCAATAAACTTGAATCCTAATTTCGGTGTAAATTTTAACTGGATAATAAATTTTACCACTCTATTTATGGAATAATGTAATTTTTTCAAAAGGACAAATTTTAATTGCAATTTTACAAGAGTATGCTTGTAATTTGATCATAAATTAGTCAACCAAAGATGTCCTTTTTCTTAGTTTGAGAGTAGCATACCCACATTTGTCATTTTTCAAATGTTTTAAAGTCACAATCTAAAGGTGGTGTTTTTAAAAAGTAAAAAAAAGGAATGTCTTTTTTCCCCATATAATGAACTGTATGTATATATATAATATAGATTTAAATGGTGGAAGAAAATTTTTTGTGTAAATTCACATTTTATGAATTTATTTGTTAGGAATGGCTGATATTTAATATATTGCTTAAGCCTATACTAGATTAATTGCCTTTTAATTTTCATTCCAAGACCATATTGTTTTTAGAACTATTTCTCACATATTCATTCCATATACTAAAACCATAGGAATTTAAGTATTGACTAATATACTAAAATTGTTTTATTTGCTTTTTATATATGGATTTTACTGCCAGTGTAGCAATTTTCAGCAGTCATTGATTAAAAGCATTCGCTTTCATAGACAAATATATGTTGCCGATCGTTCTTTCAAATGGAGAGTTGTAATGTATATATGCATGTGCATGATGTCATATCACACCCATATAATGGGCATGATGATGTCATATCACAACCATATATAGGCATGATGTCATATCACACCCATATATGGGCATGATAATGTCATCACAACCATATATGGGCATGATGTCACTTCACAACCATATATGGGCATGATGATGTCATATCACACCCATTTATAGGCATAATGATGTCATATCACACCCATATATGGGCATGATGTCATATCGCACCCATATATAGGCATGTTGTCATACCACAACCCATATATAGGCATGTTGATGTCATATCACACCCATATATGGGCATGATGTCATATCACACCCATATATGGGCATGATAATGTCATATCATACCCATATATAGGCATGTTGATGTCATACCACACCCATATATAGGCATGATAATGTCATATCGCAACCATATATGGGCATGATGTCATGTCGCACCCATATATGGGCATGATGATGTCATATCACACCCATATATGGGCATGTTGTCATATCACACCCATATATGTGCATGATAATGTCATACCACACCCATATATGGGCATGTTGTCATATCACACCCATATATGGGCGTGATAATGTCATACCACACCCATATATAGGTAAATAACAAATATTTGTTAGTGTGAACAGAGAATAGTCTTTAGCAGTGCAGTGCTTAGATATAAGCCAGTAAGTTGGGAAAGTAGCGCGATGGGCCAGCGTTGCCTTATCATTTTACAAGAATTTACGATACATTTTCTACATGCTTATAAAGCCAAGCGCACATGCTATCAACCGTTGACATACTCAGTGCTCACACAGAGGAAAGATACATTCGTCGGCAGACTGAATGCACGCCCAGCTTTAATGATACAAGACAAAACACCCTATTTAAAATATCCCCATTAAACACAGAAAAATAATACTGTACTAAACAAATGAATTTAAGATCAACATTACATTTATTCCAATACAGGTATCGCTATTAACATGGTTAGTTATTTGACATTATCAACCATTATAAGTGTGAAACAGGCCTTAAACAAACCAACAATCCAATCTATTAATGGCTAAATATTTGTGGTGTTGTAATTTTGTTTCAATATGTCACATTTCAACCATTGCCTAGAATTATAATCTAATCAGTGGCAGATTCAAAGGAGGGAGGCCCAGTCACCCCATCTCACCCCCCCCCATCCCCCGTCTAAATTTTTCAAAATTAAAAATTGAGGGAAAAAAAAGAAAATTGTATTCAAATTTAAGCCTGAGAGTGCCAATTCGGGCCATCTAGCAGTGCCATAATCATAAAATCTCATACCTCAGCCCCAACCATGATGGCGCTCAGGTGGGTGGACCTTCTATCTATGAAAGTATCTCTCTATTATGAATTCCTGGAGCCACCATTGCTTTTGTAAAGCTGGTTTTACTTTTAAACAACCTTTTAAATTAAATGTCGTGAACATGCATTATTACACCTTATACATGATTCTTTGGATAAAATTACCTATTAAATATTAGTACTAGCAGATTAAAAATTAAGAATGATCAAGCCGAAAGCACCTTACAAATGTAAATAACATTGTTGTATAATACTGAATTTGTTTTTACTTAATAAATAATTAACATATAGCCAGTATTTTATTCACTAAGTAGCAATCGAGCAAAATTCATTCTGTATGGCATTTGGTGATTACTGTAACCAAGCAACCAACAATAATTATTCACTTCTATACTTGAACTTAGTGGGAAAGTCTAGTGGCTGAATAGTACAGCAGCCTTAACATCGGTACTGGTTCGAGTTGCTCCTTGCCCAGCCTTCGGATAAAGTGTGCACTTTAAAGACCCCCTTGCATTTTTATAAGAGTAGGGGCTAACTTGATGCTACAATATGTTTCATTTCAAGCGTATGCAAGTTAAAGTTAAAGCCAAATCAGACAGCATCGTACGACACAGCCCCCCACCCCCAACCCAAAGCGATTAATCTTCGGGGACAGTCTTCAGGTCATAGTGGGAATATTAAACATGCTTAAATAGTCTCCGACGTAAACCTATCGCCTCACACAGACCAGATGCAATAACAAATCGCATTGTTGGGCTGCATCATAACACTGTCTAGGTTGGCCTTAATACAACCAAGAAAAAAAACCCAAAAGACACTTAATCATTACACAAGTATGAATAAACTACACAAAGAGGTTGAATTCATGTTGTTAAAGCTGCAATATTGTATAATTACATAAAATAACTACTGTATATTGGAAACTCCTAAATGGGGTTACAACAAGCAAATAATGAAATAATAATATGTTAATATAATAACTGATAATAAAATAATTCTTAGCTTTTCCCATCTTACAAATATACCTTTATTTTCTTATATACACTTTAATATCTTAAAATTTACTGGCATCCCGATATGAACTACTACCGTTCTGTTAAAACTGGAAGACAATGGCCTTACTTGAATATACTATATAGAATTGGCAATGTTAGAGCGAACGCTCCATAGATAAAAACAACAGTTGATAATGCGCTCATTTTCACCTCCCACTCAAGTTTCTGCTCAGCGTTGCTAACTAATTCCTCAATAGCATTGCCATCTCCTCCACCTATAGCAACACTTCTCTTCACTGCCAGTAATTCTTTTGTAATTTCTGCTTGCTGGTTTTTCAGTAACGATTTTATCTCTTCTTTCTGCTGCAAGAGTTGCTGTTCTTGTTCCTTTGACATTCCTTTAAATCCACTGTCTGTTCCACTGCCTAGATCTAAGGAATCAACAATAGCTTTCATTGATGAAACATCTTCTTTTAACAAGTTTAAACTTTTAGAGGTTTCAGAATCAAGGTCAGTTATTCCAGTAATTTTCTTTAGTTCACGTCTCCAACGCCAGTTCACTATACTAGTTCCAATCACACCTATACATGTTCCGATAAGGGAAAACATTAACGACCAGTACTTAACACGATCTTCCTGAGTCTGCTGTTTCTCTTTGGTTTCACGGAATGCAGCAGAAAAGGCATCCAGAGCTTCTCTTTCTTTGTTGTCGACTTGAATCCACCAGTCTTTGATTTGCTTCTCCACTTGCAGGAGCTGGTGTTCTTCGGTGGCAATCTCTAGAAACCGTGGGTCATCACGAGGTGTTCTGTCTAGCTTTCTACGTATAGTTTTTAATTTTGCTTGTATCTCATTGACTTCGATATTAGCCTTTTTAACATGGTTTCTAGCTTGAATATAATTATTTTCGGCCTGTAATATAAGCACAAAAATCATAATAATATTTATTCTTAATAATATTATTTCAATACACAAATATTAACAAATATCATAATATTTCGTTTTATTGTTTAAATTTATTTTATGCCCATCTGCCAATTGCATAACATAAATAAATAAGTAGGCCTCCAGTCGTGGTGGGGAAGTTTCCTGATGCCTATCTATGGGTGTATTTTTCTCAAGATCAAACTCAAAATTATATATATATTTGTAATCGATTAAGTGATTGGTAAAGAGTCGAAGACCTCTGGGGGCTTTGCGAGCCTCCAGACCCCGTCCATTGCGGCCCCGGCAACTACGCTACAGTAGGGCGGAGATAAGTAAACACTCACTTCGGTAACCTTTTCCTGAGATGCTTTTACTTCTCTAATGCCCATGAAGTCTTCGTAAGCAGCAATAATTCGTGAAATCCGACCGCTAGTAAGTGCATACATAGTTTTGTCTAGAAATTTTTCTAAGTGTACAGCAGTGGCCCCTTTAGGTTGAGGTATATTTGAGGTAAACATAAGTTTTTTTAAGTCCAACCTTCGAGACATTTTAGCTGAAATGATGAACGTCGCCTAAGCTAAGTCCATTCATTCGAACCTTGAGCGATTTCGAGCGAGACCAGTTTGAGTGAATGCTAATTCGAGCGGATGTCCAGTTCGAGCGGATGACATTTGTGCGAACAGCAACTTGGACGGACTGAGCTAGTGCGGACGCCTTTTGATCGTCCTTTGCCTAATACCGTAGCCCGCAAATAAGGCCAATGGCACACAATATTAAATTACAAAATTTTAGATAGCCATAAAACTGTCCATGTATATTTTATTTATTATCTGAAGCAAATCTCAGTGGGTTCGAAGTACAAGGCACGAGTCTTCTAAACATATTTCAGATGCCCATGATACATAACCTACTTTAGGCCTATTCACATGTGCTACCTATAAATTAAATCTAGAAAACAAATTTGAAATGCATAAATCGCCCAACAGAGTCAAGTTTCCACTGTATTCGCCTCAAAATTCATTCAGTAGACTTACGATCTCGTGATGTTAAAGGTGAATAACATTCAATATTTTTAATGTTTTGTATAATCCAATTGAATGTCTCAATTAATATACCGTTTAATATTCGACGTTATATATCGGACGGGCTTATTACGGTAACAACGTCTTGTTTTTTTTTTTTTGGGGGGGGGGGCTAAGTACTGTATGCTTTCATAAGGAGATAGGCCCTATATGATTCTGTTTCTTTCATTTCCGAGTTAAAATTGAGATTTACTGATAATGAAAAACAATATAAAATTAAAGCAGGCCTATTTTAAATAATAAACAATGTAGACGTATTTAAACAAGGATTCGAATTGGTATTTTATATTATTTTGGAGATATAAAGGATGATTAAACAAAATTAGCAAAGATGAAATAGAAATTTTTAGTTATACTTTAAACCTGCCAAAAGGAATGACTAATTGATGATGATTGATCAATGTAGAGAATACTTACACTTAATTACTTAGGTATTAATCAATCAATGAATTTGTAACGCTATTCGACTAAATTACCACCCCCCCCCCCTTATTTTTCAATGATACTAGGAAAAACAATGATTCCAGCCTTAGGCCTAGTTATATTTTATAAAACCAAGAACATAAAACAAGTAAAACACAACTTAAACAACTACTAAACATCAGTGGTGGCGCCAGAGGGGAGGGGGCCTGGGGGATATATCCCCCCTCGGGGAAGCATAGCCCCCCCCCCCGTCGGGGAAGACGATAAATTTTGCCGGGGAACAAACAAATAAATAAAAATATTTACATGTAATATTCGTTTAGCCACCATATTGTTTGTGTTAACTTTTCATCACAACAACAACAACAATAACAATAATAATAATAATAATAATTCAATGAGACTAATTAAAAATAATTTGCGTTCTGTTATGACAAATGCTCATATAGATAGCCTCAAGATGGTTGGAATACATCGTGATAGGTGAAGCAACCTCGACCACAGCGTGGTTGATAGATTTCATGCAAAATTTCCAAAATATAGAATTTCACTTTTAAGAATGAGGATTTGAAAATAAATTAGATGGTTACATTAATACATACTCTTTGTTTCTTGCTTTATTTTAAATGTTTTGGTTTTGGAAGCTGATTTTAACATAGAAAGCATAGCCTACATGAAGTCATATTATAGTAACTCGATGCCTATCAACAGAAAGCATAGCCTACATGAAGTCATATTATAGTAACTCGATGCCTATCAACTAAGTAGTAAGCTTTATTTAAAATGTTTCAAATATCCGTGGCCCCCACCGGGGGCCCTGGGCGGGCCCCCC